TCGCAAGAGGAAGAGAGAAGTGGAAGGATGGGGTAGTCCTTCAGTGGATGCTGTTTCGGAAGGAAACTTGAGAGAGACGGCGCCCATCGTTTTGGCCCGATGCAAGACGGCGGCATACAAGAATAGCTCGGAGCTCAGGAAACCACTTGAAGTAGAAAAGGAAATAGAGGTTTCCACCAGTTCGACGTCAGAAGAAGACTTCAAGCCTCAGAAGGTAAACGTGAAGAGAGGTTCAACGAACGGACAGGTAGGGGAAGTGGAGATCGGCAAAGAATGGATCTCGAAGGCACATCAGGACATGGGCAAACAAGTGACGAGTGATCCATTGGAGAGGAACAAGACGAGGAACACTTCCCGGTCGTGGTGGGTGGCCCTCGAAACATTGAAGGAAATGGAGGACTGCCTGAAGAAGTTGGACAGTGGAATAGCTCGCAAGCGACGCAATTGGGCCACCCAGCAAAAAGCCGAGGTTAATAAGATAGAGATGGCAAGTCATCTGAAGAGGTCCTGGCAGAGTTTGTTGAAGGATCATTTTGAAGAGGCGATGAGAACATCCTCATCAGCACCGCCACTAATGGCGAATCCCTTCGTTAGAACTGCGGGACAATTAATGTTCACCTGGAGTCTGGTGGGAATAGAGTTGGAGACATTGACCTCGTATGACAGGCTGAAGTTGGGAAGCAAGAAGCTAGAGGTGTATCAGGCACTGATGCAACACGTGGCCAGGGACAATTCAGGCTTGAGCCTGGCTAGAAGAAAAGATGCCACATGTTTCTTGAGATGGATAATGTCAATGATGTCTGATAGCACCATCCTGGCATGCCACCAGAGGGCAAGTGGAAGTAAAACCATGGAGAAAAGAGTCTCAACGATCATCTTGAACGTATATCAGAGTACGGGAATAGAGAAAGAAGATGGTTCCAGACTATCCTTAGAGAACCATCGGAAGCTGGACGAGGTACGGAGGTTCTCTAATAAGAAGTTCGAGGAAGAACATGATGTTCACCGTAACCTGGCCTCGTCAGAACAGTACTCGAGACTCAGTGAGAAGGGGGAATACCAACATGTGTCTGGAGTGATGGGAATAGCCTACAATCCCTTCTTAGACTCAGAAGCTGGAGGAGCCCACAGAAACCATGAGGTAGCGGAGCTACTGAAGTTTTGGACAGAAAGAATAATGGAAATAGACGCGGTGGAAAAAGAGGGGCAGAGCCTGGGCCTGATTCTTGAGAAAACACCAGAGGTGGTAAGCATACCGCGCTCAAACAAGAGAGTTGAAGTGAACATGGGCGGTGGAAATGGCTGGTTAACCACGAACTTGGGAGTGGTATGGAAGCTACTAAGACCCTCCTGGTGTCCACATCCCCATGCGAGTCTGATCGAGGAAACCACTGAGCGAGTGAGGTTAGCACCAACGGAAGATGAAGATCTGGCGAAGTTGAGTGTACTACATAAGCTAATCACGCCCCAGATGCAAGAGCCAAGCGAAAGGACGAGCGACCCAGGGTCAGCAAAGAAATTGGAACCGGGTAGCTGTCTGGATTCCACGTGTGGGAACGGAGAGCACATCTGCGATGGACGGTCATGCGTCAGAATACTGTCGTTTCAAAAAGAAGACCTGGTCACTTGGTTCGAAGACATCACAGAAAGGGAGAAAAGCGAAGTGCAAATAGTAGCGGAATGTTACGCGAGAACCACAGTGAATATAGCGACAGCTCTCGGATTCTTCTCGAGAATGTGTGGTCTGCAGGCACTGGAGAGACTGGAATCTGAACATCATTTGGTGACGGCGTTGAGCGTGGAATCATGGCCCGGGGTGTTGCAGGTGACTCAAAAACACATCCGGAGCTGGAAGGTTGGGCTTGAGGCGGAAATGGGATTTCCCATGAGCGAAGCCTATGGCTTGCCATTGAACGCGAAATCGCTGATAGGGTCAATGATGGCCAACTTGTGCGGAAGTCACTACCCGCTACACATGGCGATGGTGGAAGTGTCCAGCCAGAGAATACTGGTGGACAAGGCCTTCTCGGTGCCCAAGTGCGTGAGGTTGGCTCGGATGTCGCATCACTCGCACAAGTTGTTGAGAAAAATCAAAGGGACAGTACCAAAAGAATTGAGAGATGACTTAAGCGAAATCTGGGGAGAAGATCTTCTGAAGTTGGAAAGAGAAAACACGAGCGATCACGAGAGACAAAACGTGATCGGGAAACCTGTGGGAAGTACTCCGAACCTGGAAGACAACGACACGATGCACGAGAAAATGATGGAGCTTGAGCCTCTCTTGGAAGCCTCAGGGGAGCGTAATCTCAGGAGCATTGAGATCTCTCATGGGGAATGCCCATGCCACTGTTTGGCACAAACGGTGTGGTATCCAGATCACAAGAACCTTTGCCTGGTGTGGGATGTGGAAGAGATTCGGTCGATCGGACTACCGGATCACCGGCAGAAGGTGACGCTCTTAGTAGTGAGTACGATGTTAGCTCTGAGATGGATAGAAGAGAATATAACGAAGTATCGGGAGGCGACGACGCCAACGGCTGAGTCAATATACGCGATAGACTACAGCAGGAGACTCGAGTTGTTTGAGACTGCGTGCAAAGTATTCGCCATACCGACGGAAGTCAGGCACGTATGGAGTCGCTTGAGGTACTTTCCATGGTTTCGGGCGACACTGACGTCTTGGTTGTACAGGGCAACGAAAGATCACATGAGAAAACATCAAAAGGAGTATCGACAGTTCCAGGCCGAGATTGGGCCGGAAGCTTTCAAGAGACCCCTGCTAACCCATCGTAATGCGATCACGACGGGATGGAAGAGAGTGGGTAAGATGTCTAGAGACAATACCAAAGCGAGGGAGTCGATACTAGAGGAAGACCTGGCGAAGAACGTGAGCTTGAGCCTGCACAACTCCTTTTGCTTGAACCGAGAAGCTAGGGTGAAGGCACTACCCAACCAAGCAAAGAGATTGCAGGAGCAGAGAGAATGGATGCGATCCTATGAACAGCTGAAGGCTTGGGAGGAGATTGTGATTAGTTCCGATGATGAAGAGGAACTGTTGAGACAGTTTGCCGCATCTAGCACTTCAGGATGCAGTACCTCCAAGGCGAAGAGTACGAGATGAATGGGCAAATCGGATGGATCTTGAGTCTTGAGAGGGAAAGGGGGCTTGAGCGTGAATCCGAGTGAAACTTGGATTCACGAAAAAGAAATTTTAACAAAGCAAATATTGTTACTAATATACTATATTTATTATATAAATCGAAATGCTGCATGACAATTTCCTGATTGAATAGGACAAAAGAGATTTTAAAATGATTGGCTTGAAAAGCGAAAATTCAAGGGTGCAGGTGTGTGCAGATTTTGATTGCTGTTTAGCAATAGTGTGAAAATTTTACATGGCTGTGAATTTTGGGGTGTAGATAAGCTTAAGTCTGCTGCAAACTTCTGTAAATGACCACTGGCACTGTATCTTGAGCAACACTCGGTTTTCTGGGACTCACTGGCAGAAGACAGCACGCGATGAGGACATCGATCTCGAGTCCGGGGAGTATGTGCCAGTCGGTCATATTTGGAAGTTTGACCTTGAGAAGAGCAGAAAACACTTGATTTTGGAGTGAAATTTAATTTTTCAAAATTTCGAATGGAACATGTCATGCACGATTTTCTCGCGATAACTGAAAATCAGAAAAAGAAATCAGAACAATTTCAGAACAATTGCGGGAAAGTTGTCAGATAAAAACGAGTGTGAAATTGCAATTCGCAATTTCCATCATAGTGAACAAGAGTAGAGCTGTCCTATCTGAAATAGAAGACAGAGTGTTCCCGAGAGAACAATTATTCAAACTGGACCAGAGTGAACCTTCGACGGAAAGGTGGACAGCTTGAGTGTCCCAATGGTCCACATAAAACTGCAGTCTAGAGTAAAAACTTGTTCTTGTTGTTAAAACTGACTGACATTAAACTTATCTTAGTTACTTTATTGATTCTTGAGTTGTTTACCGACTTATGTACTTCCTGGTTCTTGAGCGTGCTACAATGTGAGTACTTAATTTAATTTCTAGAGTGTGTTTTATGATTGTTATGTTGAGGTAAGGCGAGTTTTAGGTTGATCCATCTGAAATGGATCAAAGTTCCACTGTCTAATAAAAAAGCAACTTAACGGATTGTTCCAACCCGGTTTTTAACGGCGTTCATGTATTTTGGGTATTTTGAGACCTAAGTATGGGGACGTTCTTAATTCTAGAGTGGGGGGATATTTTGGTAGTAGCCTTAAGCAGTAGCGGGTCGTAGTCTCATGTCACAAGCGAACCGAATTGGCTCCGACTGATTTGAGGTGGAAAAACACAAGAGATAGTGTCCCTGACTCCTGAGCCAATAGTTATAGGGCCTATTTTTCTTAAGCCTCATGTGTGACTGTAGTAGACGAATGTTACAAAATAGTAACTTTTTACTTAGCCCTAGACTGACCAGAAAATCAACTGGCAAGGTCGAGACGGTGAAAAACGAGTAGGATTAAGGTAACTGACGCATGCCGGTCGTTAATAGGTACTTTTTCTACGCTTCGTCGCTGTGTAGTATTTGGGCGAATGTTACATAATTTCACATTCTTTTGTCACGGCTTGTTTTTGTTTCAAAAGTTGCTGTATTCATTATGATTGATCCAATTTATTCGGTGTCTTCAATTTTTTTGTGTTGTATCACAAGCGGTGCGAAGCTCAGCTTCGCCTCTGTCTTAGAAGTTAATACCAATTTAAGGTGCTGAATTAAGAGTTGTAGGAACTGTGTGTCATTAATTTTGATATAAAATAATCGGAGACAGTTTAGAACTTTAATAGGTTTTCCATTTTCCCAAACTACGACCAAAATAGCTGTTATGCAAGTGATGCAAAGTCTTTGTTTCGCTTAGATTTCATCGAGCTTTTGCTGAGACGATTGCTGAAATTGAGGGTAGATTTTATAAAGTTTTTGCTTACGCCCTTTTCTTACCTCATTTTCAGATCATGACTACCGTAACGAACCCAGATGACGACTGGTATATTCCAAATAGTGACGATGAGTCTTTAGAAACTATTGAATTAACCAAAGAACAAATTTTACAGTATATTTTGGAACTGAACGAAACGGGAACGTTGGCACTCGAATGGAAGTGCCCTGGTCGAAGACCATTAACGCCCCCGTCCATTAAGTCAGCTCTTCCAGAGAAGGAGTCGCCTAATTTTTCGACAGATCCTGCTCGATTGAATACAGGCAACACCAGTTTGAAAACGCGTTAGTAAACATAGGGTTGCTGTTTAAATATTCAATATATGCTGTTTGTTCCTTATGTAATGTTTGTCTAATTTTTTGTGAAGGTTCATGATCATTAGAAAAATTATTGCACGATGAAGTGCGTGCTTGCACTGTCGAAGGTCCTTGATTCGAATCACGACCGGACCTTCTTTTTTTAACTATATATATATATCTATTTAGGCTTTTCATTTTTTCGGCTCAATAAGTGTCAATAGTCGTAGTGAATACACTTATACAGGTCGTGACGATTTTTCTGTAAAAGGTCCTGAAAAGCTCAAATAAGTACAAAATGCATACCAAAATTCTTACCAAATATCTATGCATTCATAGACACAAATGTATTCAAATGCGATAAGCAAGGGTATTGAAATCGAGTACTTACTCTTTTTCCCCCGTTGATTAACGTTATGCACACAACTCATCAATCTCGTGGACTCATTCATCTACTGGGCCTTTTGTTGCAACAGGCATATTTTGAGCATGTTACCATTTCAAATATACGGCCTTATCGATATTTGCTTTCCATGTTGGTTGTAACTTTACCAACTTGTTTTTGCTTCGGTTTAATAGGTTTTGTCTAATTTAAAACAGTCATGTAGTGGATTCACTTCCACCTAGGTCGGACAAACTGTTCGACATTTGACTACTAGAATTGAGGAACATAAAAACAAAACAGACTCACCGGAAGGCCTTCACCTTCAGCAAAGAAATCTGGAGTGAAATAGCGCAGATCTTAGTCGGGAAATTATAGATAGGTCAAACAGCCACACAAAACTGTTCACACTAGAGACAGTACATATCAGGGAAAAAACCGGGCTTGAACACGCGCGATGAGTGTAGGAGCAGGGAGTTAACACTGAAATTTAGTCCCAAAATGTTTTTGGTTTTTATTTAAAACGTACATATCTGAACAGAAATTATCATATCGTACATGTCTTAACCTTTTTAAAGGAAATTTAATTTCCAGACTATTTAATTGAAAATTGTTTCATTAGTTTTAGAGGTGAAAACTATTCTAATCTAAAAAGTGTTTTTAGAAGTCATTTATGGGAGCCAATTGGGAAAGCAAAAATGCTGCGAAAAAAATTGATCGTCTTGTTTCAACATTGAGTTGAGTTTTTTTTTCAGATTTCCCAGCGGAAAAAAGTTAACCTTGTCCCAGTTTTCTTAAATTTGTTAAATTTTATCTAAAGAAAAGTCAATATCTAAAGAACTAAGATAAGCTTTGCGCTGCTCAGGAGCGCTATCTTTTGTATACGGGGGTGCAGATCACTGCGTAAGACGCAATTCATAGACATTTCAATTATTGCTATTATAGAGGAGGGACGCTATTATAGTGCTGACTTGATTTAATTCCTACAATATTGTTTATTGATGTATTTACACAATGCTGGTAAGGGCCTTTTCCAGCTTGTGCACGACCGTACCTAAACGGAAGGGCCCCTTTTATAATTTACTTTTTTTTAAAGAAAAGTCGATAAATAATTCTTGAAGTTTCGAAGAGCTTTGAGGCCCCATATTTTTTTTATTCGAAACTCGAACGTTGTGTTCACTGACATTTTGTAACTGTCTGGTGGCTATATTTGAATTTATCTCAGTTCTTGCTGGCTTTATGTATATAGTGAACTTTATATATACCGTTCGAACTTTCAAATAAATTTTTCCTATCGATGATTTTTATGCTTCTTGATTTTGATTGAATCTCTGTCGGCTGGCTTTTTCAAAACATTGTTTGGTATAGTTTTTCAATTTTTGTCATCTGCGTATATTCGTTGAAAGCTCTTAACGAAATTTTAAACAGAAATTGTTTGTAGACGACTTTAAAAATTGCGTTTTTAATGGAGTTTTCGGTTCATATTGTCTGCCTTTTTTCAACGATTTATGAGATCAATAATTTAAAAGTCACTTTTTACCCTTGCGATAAGCAAGGGTATTGCAATTGGTTACTGGAATTTTTTCCCGAAAATAACTTTGTTCATATATTTTAGCATGCATACGGTACACGACATATGAATGCATTATATTGCGCTCATTGGTCTATTATTTCCACTGTACATCCTTAATAGTATTTTTCCAATAAACTTGCAGTTCAAAAGTTGTTAGTGATATTTTTTTGGTATTTTATGGGTTTTGGCATTGTCGCTTCGGTTTATGTTTTACAAGCGAACTACATCGCTTAATTGAATGTTTTTTATGGAGATAAGATGGCCAAAAAACTTTTCGAACTCAATGTGGTAAACGTTCAACGTAAGTTTTTATATTCTTATGGAACCATTTTCGACTAGTTTTATCGCCTTTTTTCATTAATTTGATAACTGCTTCTTTCTATTAAATAATTTTGTTTCATTTTCAAAAGGGTAATTATAGTTTACGGTTTTATGGTATATTACACTTCAAAACTTTCTGGTAGAAAAAAGAATAAAATATTTTTCGGTTCGAGTTTTATTTCATTCTATTTTATCCAGTTTTTAGGATTTATGGTTTCTGATTGTTTTGAACTAAAAATGCGTACGATATCTTTCGAACTTTGGCTTTTTGTTTGTATCGCAAGTGGTGTGACGCTCCGACTCACCTCTACGTAGAAATTTAGTGTTTTGTTTTTGAACCTTAACAAAATCCAGACGCCTTCCAACTTGGTATCTGTATTCCAGCTTCACTTCGATGGCGTTGCATTTGATTAACTTTTCTGTGAGACCATTCTTTGATTTGATTGGCTGAATCTTTTCAAGCATGCTAGGACATGGCAGATTCCAGAACGTATCGTGCAGAAGAACACTTGAAGTTTCAAATTGTTCTTTTTATACCGGTGATTTCTTATTTGAACTGCATAAATTACAGCATGTTAACCTGTTAAAATTTTATAAAATCTTGTTTTCTGTTAGTCTTTATAAAGCGTGCCAGATATGATGTTTCAGTTATTTTGACTTTGGTTTTAGACGCACCCCCTATGTCAAGTAGAAATGGAAAAGGTGGAACAATGCCAAACGACTATGATTTCTCCGATATATCAGAAGGCGGAGATTCAGGTAAGCAGCCTATTCAGTACAATTGTCAGAGCAACTGTTGTTCCGACCGGGTTTTATAAAGAGCCGATGAACGTAGTTCAGACTCTTATATAGGTCGAGATTATTTTTTTTCGTTCTTTTTTTCAGGAAAAGTCTTAAAAACTGTCCAGCCCCAAATGTACTTTTTCGTGGTTTGGCGTTTGATTTTTTTTAAGTTCAGTTCATTTCTTTAAATACAAAAATGGCAAACTCCACTATCGAGCAGCGAAAGTGTAAAGGCCACGAAAACAGGATCAACGTCTAGTTTCGAAAATGTAAAAAATTTTGAGGGTTCCCAGCGAAAAGTTTAATTTATTGATACGGATTTCTATCGAGATTATTTTTTTTCGTTCTTTTTTTCAGGAAAAGTCTTAAAAACTGTCCAGCCCCAAATGTACTTTTTCGTGGTTTGACGTTTGATTTTTTTTAAGTTCAGTTCATTTCTTTAAATACAAAAAATGGCAAACTCCACTATCGAGCAGCGAAAGTGTAAAGGCCACGAAAACAGGATCAACGTCTAGTTTCGAAAGGTTAAAAAATTTTGAGGGTTCCCAGCGAAAAGTTTAATTTATTGATACGGATTTCTAAAATTGAGTTAATTTACGAAAAAATGTCAATTATAAATTGTCATTGAATTCAGAGCTTGAAGGCCGTATGTTTTTTCTTTGAAATTTTCAAAAAATCAAGTTGGTTTTTTGTCTGTTTCTTCGCGCTCATTGACTTTTTTCAGCTGTCTGTTGGCTGTGTTAAAATTTTCATTAGGAAATTTTTTAACCGATTGGTCGAGCGGTTGTTTGTTTTTCATCCTTTGACTCAGCTATCTTTATTTCTTAAAATTATTTGGTTTCCGATAGGATAGGATTTTGGCTCAATACATTTTTTAAAGATTCATATGGATTCGAAGAGTGGGAAGGAATTATTGTATAGGATGGTTTTTCCGCGTAATTTTGGCCCACTTCAAGTCATATTAAAGCCGGTCAGAAACACTTCTCTTTTAGCAAAATATGACTATTGATACTGCTGTTTGTCATATTTTATCTGCACTATAATCCACATGTTAACCAATAAGGCTGTATAATAATTAAATGCTACTTAGGTTGTCATAGTTAATTTTGGCTTCGAATCTTAAGGAGTAATGAACGTATTGAGTACTCTTATATAGGTCTTGCTGATTTTTTGTGGGTGTTTGCTCAGGAAAAAGTCTTAAAGTTAGTTCAAGCTCAATTTTGATTTTTTGCGATTTGAATTTTGATTCCTAAAGTTCACTTCATTTCCTTTATGAAAAGGAAGACAAACTCCACTATCGAACAGCTAAAATTTAAAAATCACGAAAAACGTGATCGAATTCTAATTTCAAAATATAATTTATTTATCAGATTTTCCGGCGAAACAAATGTTTTACCTAGTGATCAAGTTTTCTCCAATTGGGTTAATTTTGTCGAAAAAACATTACTCATAAATTGTGCGTGAACTTCAAAGAGCTTTATAGGCATATATTTTTTCTTTGAAATGCTAATGTTGAAGTTTTCTCAAAAAACAAGTCGGTATTTTTAAAAATGTTTCCTTGCGTTCATTTCTTTTTTCCAATTGGCTATGTTTGTTGAAATTGCGTATGTTTTCTACAATAAGATCACAATTGTTTTTCTCCAACTAAAATTCTTAACTCAAAATATGAAAGAAATTGAACTTACTTAATTATTGAACCTTAACAGCTTGGAAGTTCGATCCCACTTGAAATTGAGTTAAAACCGTCGCCTCTGCAACTTAAGGTCTGGGGTTCGATTCCTGACCGGACTTCGTTTTTTATCAGTGAGTAAAGTTGAAAGCGTTTTTCCGTAAAATTGAATTGTTTTGATTGGCGTTTGCCTACTCATCTGTTATCAGCTCAGTTGACGCATCACAGATTTTGCTTTTGCTGTAAGCAATTTTCATTATAGTTACAACTTTATAGCGTCAACTAATTTTATCTCAGCTTATTAACTTATTTTTCTTACTTTAACTCCCATTGAAGTTTTTTTTTACAAAATCAGTTTTTTTTTCAGACTGCTCAAATGGTGTCTGCTCAAAAACTGTCCGCCTTGTTTCAGCTTTGTAAGTTTCATTCCGCTGCTAAATTGATTTTCAATTATTTTGCTTCGCATCTTTGACAAGAAAATCTTTTTTATCGAGACATACAAAAATTTTGGTAGACCTAGTTTATTTCAACATTTTTCATTTTTTTGACTTATGGTTTTTTGTTGTTTCGATTTTATTGCAAATGATGCGCAGCTCCATGTTGTGTCTTTTTTACGCTGATGAGCTTGCGAGCGTGGTGTATAATTACGAATCTTCTTTTTTTCCAAAGTAACTCGCAAATAAAATTGTTTATAAAAGTATTCACTTATTTGGTGGTACTTTTGTCATAATCAGAGTCTGTAGCATTGGAATTTTCATAGCATCTGTTCTCTGTTTTGTTTAGAGCTAGTGTTTTTGGTTTTGAGAGCTCGTGAGATTTATAATCTCTAGGTCGCAGATCGTAAGCGAGACCTAGCCGAAGTTTTACTAATTCGAGGCTTATTTTTACTTTTTATTGCACTTTTAGTGCTGCTTTTTTGCCGTGTTCTCGCTGTGTTTGCAAAGAGCAGATTCGCCCTTGTGTGAAAATTATTTCACACTCGCTGTAGTATTCAAGTTCAACATAATTTGAGGCAAAAATCTGAAATGTTGTGAAATTGTAATTTTCTACTTTCGACCTCGTGGCTTTTGTTTCCTTTTTTTTCGACTGCTGTGGAGTGGTATTGCAAGTTTTGCGTTGTCTTTGCGTTGATACTTTTTTTAGCGAATTATTTATAGCTGGATATGTTAACAGTCTTATCTTGAGAATTGATAGATATTCACGCTTGCGATTTGCATGCGTTATCAAATTAGAATATAGACTTTTAAAGGTTAAAAACAATCTAGAGGTAACGCTTATGCCTGGGACGGCAAATGTCGTAGATTAAAATCTGTGGAAGAGAAGACCCGTGTTTTTGAACAGGAAGTATTCCGTTTCTAAATTTTGTCGGCTTCTCGTTTGTCGTCGGCTTAGTTTGATATATTAATTTTTGATGTGCTTGCAAGAATTTTTTTTAAAATTTGTAAATTCACTACCCTGACTTATTTTATTTTCTTTTTTTTTGTATAAAAGCTGATCTACCGGCTCAGTGGCCTAATTTTGCGTTATTTGAAGCAAAACACAATTTTTACGTCAACAGCTCGGAATCAAACAAAAGGATAAAACTCATAGAATTTCGGAACAAGTAAGATATAGAGTCTTAGAAATTTCATTTGGTGACTATATATCGGCTCTGTCGGCTTAGTTACCCCTTGATACATATTTTGGCTCTACTAGGGAAGTACCCGTTGAGCCGAAATATGTATCAAGCGGTAACTGAGCCGATAACAAATTTGTCAAATTCATGACAAATTTTTTATCGGCTGAGCGGGTACTTCCCTTGTTCTGTCGGCTTTATTACTGCTCGATAAATATTTCTGAATCTTATTTAACGCCAGAGATTGTATTGCACGTTTTCCTCGAATGGAAATGCATATGTTTGAATTTTGTGTTCCGATCATCATGTGTATCCGTATGTTTATTTTTTTCCACGCAAAATCAGGTTCCACAAATAATCATCGGAATATTATATCATATTAAAGCCCTTTCAGTCGTGAATTGAACCACATTAAAAGATTTCCAAAAAAATTTCGCACTGTCGAGAAAAACTGATTTGAAGTTTGTGATTTTCGTCTAATTTGAGCAAGTAAAGCAAAAGGATGAAAGTTTTAGTTTAACTCAAAATTAGTTTTTACCGCCATTTTAGCACCCTTTTGCCTAAAATGGCGTTTAAAACTAATTTTGAGTAAAACTAAAATTGAGCATAAATAAATTATTGACAACGGCTCAATTTAAGCATAAACTAGCTTGCTCGCTCGCTCTACTCGCTCAAAATTAGCCGAAAAATCAAAAACTTGAAACCGGTTTTTCTCGACACTGGGAAATTTTTTTGGAAATCTTTTAAATTGGTTCAAATCACGAAATGGCGATAATCAATTTTAGTTTTACTCAAATTTAGATTTTTAACGCCATTTTAGGAACAAAAAATTTCAAAATTCAAAAATTTTCTGCAAAGTTTTTGAAACTATTTGTTTTTTTTCTAGTCATTTTTCTATAAAAATTTGCTGTTCAAATTGTAATTTTAGTGTGTCTGTCGATTATGCTTAAGCTCTAGTTTTTTTGTTCCGATCCTTTCATCACACGAGAAACGACTCTAATTTGGGAAAAAAACTTTTTCGTTGTTTTTTGTGAGACTATGGTCGCATCATTCTGTGCTACTGTAACCGGCTATTCTTGTTGAAATTGTTTTTTTTTTCGATTGTTTTTTCATTTTTTTGAGTAAGTGATTTTCATTTCATTTTTGTCTGCTGGATTGCAAGCTATGTTTGCGTGCTATTGGATGTTGGGTGAAGCTCCGCTTCGTCTCTGTGTTAAAACTTAGTTTTTTTTATCAGAATTTAGAAAAAAAAGAGAACGCCGGTTTGTGTGTTTTTTTTGCGCTTTCCCACTGTGGCTCCGAACTCGCTAAGAAAACCCAACCTCACTGTAATTTTTATATTAGGGGGATAAACGAGGGCCGGTAAGCATGAGAAAAGACTAGATTTCCTGAAGGATTGAAATTTAGCATAGCTTATGGAAAATAAAGATTTTAAAATGAGATAAGCGCGCAATAATGCTGTTTCATATAATTCTAAAAGATTTAAATAAATTTTAATAATTGTTTTCACTCGAAGTTCGAGTCAAAATGAATCCATGGAAAAAGCAGGACGATTTTTAAAAATCTTTTTCTTGTAACCGGAAGTTCAAACCATTAATATGGTCGAACCACTATTAGAGGATTCGTATTTAACTTCAGATCTAATGCTTTAATATCACGAAGCTGGTATCAAAGTAACATCAATAGTACTTCCTGTATGATTTTCAGCTTTATGTATGTTGACCGAGTACTATCGTCAGTTGGAAGCTCATAAGTGCAAGTCTCCAATCTGTCTCTAGATCTTTATTTCTGTTATTCTTTATAAAGATCCCGCTTTCTTATTCGAAATAATTTGGTTATTTGCTTAATTTTTTGTTGTTTTTGCGCGAAAATCTGTGTTCGGTTCAAGCCAATACAATTTGGGGGAGGGGGAGGGGTGTAGTCGATAACTTTTTGTGTTTAGGAGCTCGACCCATTGCCTATATCTTTGACCCATTGTATAATTACCGTATATTATACGTAGTGGTACACCAGAAAAAATAAACAGTTAAATACGAGTACTTGAGAGACTTCGAAAAAAATATATCTCTATGTTAATATCGGGCAAAACAAAAATTATTTAACGAGACCCAGCGTTTTTGAAATTTTTGGCCCTAATTCTGATTTTTTTTTTGCTTAGTAAGAGTCATGAACGTAGTGAATACTCTTATATAGGTCTTGGGATTTGTTTTAGTTCGTTTTTTTTTCCAGGAAAAGTCTTAAAAGGCTTTAATAACTACAGAAGTGCATTCATACATGTCAATGCATTGATGAATGCATATAGGTAGATATGTACTTCTTGAATTCAGTTCAAAATCATCTGCTGCTGAAAGTTAGGTAAATTGCGCTCTCCAAATACTAACTTGGAAATGGCGAAGAAAAAACATGAACGATTTTTAATTTCTAAAGTGTATTTTAATGTTAAGAATCGAAAATTTTCCTATTGATCCAATTTTCTTAAATTGGGTTTATTTTACTCAAAAAAAGTGCCAATTATGATTTTTTCTTGAAATTCAAAAAGCTTTAAGGCCATTCTCTTTCCTTGCGTTTATGTCTCTTTTCAAACTGTCTGCTGGCTATGTTATATCTGTTGAAAATAATTTCGCTAAGATTGATGAAAATATTGTGTACCATTTTCAGGGGCGGCAGTATCAATAGGAGCTGGAGCTAACATGCACAAGAAGTTTGGGTCCATCTCAGCAGCTGGGAACAGGAAACACAAACTGAAGAGCACGGACAGTTCGGGTAGTTCCTCTTCTGCAGTGACTTTGGATAAAGTGATGAGTGATCTAATGCGACAGGAGAGGGAGGACAAACGCAATATTGACCAGGACAGAATTGCGAAAGGTATGATCAAGAGCAGCACTATTTATTAACGAGGTAAATTACAAAAATACGAGAATTTCAATTGTTCAAAGAGAACCGCTATTGTTCTCCTGATTAAAATTTTTCATTCATTTTTTTCTGGACTGGAACAGTTGGCTGATTTTATACAAGAAGCAAGATTGATATTGGGCATCGAATAAACATTTTTTTTACTGAGGCGCAGACACTGGCCACTGCACTACCAGTCTCTCTCAATATCGCTGCCTAAAAGAAGCTTTCTTGATATTGGAGATGAGAAAGTATCCACAGTAGCTGAACTTGAAAACCTTTATGATGTTAATTATTTGCAGTAAGATTAATTTTTTGTTCCGACTTTCGATACGAAAGTAACGGAATATTTGTGCTCGGGGTGGGTTTTTTTTTCTTCAGACAAATTTTATCATTCAAAAGGTATTGTTGTCCTGAGCTCAAATGTGAAAAGATATTTCACCTGTGATCATTTTTCGTAAAGTTATGGGGGTTTAAAGATTGCCATTTTGGCCAATTTGGGACAATTAACGCGCGATAAACTTCGCGCTATTAACGCGTAAGCGAGATTTAATCCGTCTTAGAAATCGTTCCAAATTGGTTGAAAGAAGCTTATTTGCCATAATTGATTTGTTACAAGGTGCGAAATCTATCCTTTTGTGCTTTATATGGCGTGTGGGGGGATGATTTTCAAAAAAAAAAATCAAACTTTAGAAAAAAAAATTTTGATTTTTTTTCTTTCATTTATTTTTTAAATATTATTACTGCTCCATAAACCTTAGAGGGCAGTCGGAACATTCAGGGCTTCGCCTTGATACGAGCAGTCTTGTTTCATTATTTGAAAATTATTGGACAATGAGAACGCTGGACAATTTGAGTGTAAATAAAGCAGGCGAAGTATGATCCAACCGAAAGAGCGAAAGACCAGCCGAAATGTTATGTCATGTGAATGAAATTTGCATTCTGCTATGTATTTATTACATAACTATTTTTACCCTTGCCATAAGTAAGGGTATTGCAATCGAGTACTAGACTTTTTTCCCCGTAAATAACTTAGTTCATAGAATGGTCAAAATTGGAAATGGTAAATTTAATTACAAATTTAGATTTCTTTGCGTCTCCGGGACACTTGGTCTGGATGTATCGAAAGCGCCCTGGACGGAAAAGGTCCTGGGTTTGAATCTGACAGGACCTGTCTTTTTTTCAAACAGGAAAAAATTCCGTTTCAGACAAAACTGTCGGCTTATTATTTGTCTGCTTATGTTTTGTCGGCTTATTTGCCACATCGTTGAATTGTTTTTTTTTGTAGTTACATTTTGAGTTTTGATTTTTTTTCTGCTGTTAGTAGTTTTCTTAACCTTGACTTCGTATAGTTCTTTTTTTTTTCGCTGAAAAACTTTTTTCTGCCCAATGATTTCGGCTTATATTTTATCGGCTTAGTGACTTAATTTTTAGTAGTTTTAATTGAATGATTTCAGACTTTCGGGTCATGTCTGGATTTTAGTTTTACACGGGATATTTTTAGTGTGATAAATATTGTTTCAGGTCTGCCAACTTTATCAGAAGAGGAGGAGGAACTGAAACGGAAGAGAGAAGACAGAGAAGAAGCCTTCCGCCAAGTGGCCAACAGTGTAGTCTCAGTGGCCACTTTGAGACAGAACACCAACAACCCAAAACAAGAGAGGCAGAAGAAACTCTCGCCCGATGGTGGAGGAGGGGGAGGTGATCATAGGCAGCAGAGCCACAGTCAGCAGAACTCATTTTCTGCATACTCTATCGCAAGTTTGAGCGCTAATGATGATCGCAATAAGTATTCAGGTTAGATTTGGTAGTTTTGGTTGGACTAAAAGTCAATATATGGAGGTGAAGTTTTTAGGTGTCCTTGAAAACACTTACATAGTTCGTGTTGATGTGTTTTTCTTTTTTGGAAAAATTCTGGAACACCTTAATTAATTCTCTCATTCATTGGTTTTGTATTTAAGAATCAGTCGTTTCTGGTAACTTGCGTCATTAATTATTTCTTTGATTATATATTAATCAGGGTGCTTTGTTGATCGAATTGTAATGTTTGTTCTGTTTAATTCAGAGTCATCAGTAAAGCAGATGGTGCCCAATGACAGTTTCAGCATGGCAATGGGTGCACTGGGCGGAGGAGTAGGAGGGAATGGGGCTGCTGCAGCTGCAGTAACAAGTGCAATGACACCTCAAACTATGGCCCAAATACAAGAGAGCGTTAGTTTTCATCTGTGTTTTTGTTGTTCTTATTGCAATCCCATAGTTGGTTGTGGTTTCAGATTCCCTGCAGTGAAATTCTTTTCTATGATAACACTACGCTAATAGATTGGGCCGAAAAATCGATAAGAGCAAGATAAGATAACCTGTTTTGGACCAATTGTATAATGAGAGTGCTTTTTATATAATATCGTGTTTATTGTCTTGCTAATTTCATTTTAAACCATTTTCAATCGAATTTTAATACCTAGATTAGCGAGTTTATCAGTCAACCTCTCATGAAAGCGTGCATCGATTCATACTATGATATGGTCAATCACAAATAAACCGGAAGTGGGGAGTCGCTTTTCATGGAAAAATGATATCTAATTACCCATTCAAATTCTAAATAAAGATTTCACACTTCGTTTCAGTATTCAGTTTCATTTTTACTTGTTTTAAGACAGTTTAGGAATGTGGAATGATATTCATTAGTGAGGTAGTTTTTCCTCCTTTGAGTAAACACTGTTTCAGCTTCAGCATCAATTGATGCCCAACAGTTTTGTATCGGCTCTGGACAATCTTCCTACATCTCTATTTCCTACTTCATCTCTGAGTCAAAATGAACTGGCAGCCGCACTCCAGACATCAAATCTGTTGCCAGGAGGCGCAAGCAATCAACAAACTCCTACTTGTAACTCACAAGGAATGCTGTTCACTTCTAATCACCAAGTTAACAGCCAATTGGGAACATCAGTAGCTGCTTTGAGTAGTCAGTTGCAAAATCAGACTCATTTTTTCAACGAAAACGAAGCAACCACTATGTTGTCGAATGCGTTGTCGGCTGTTGCCCCTCACGATTTGCTGGGTCTATCCAACTTCCCATCCGATTTGGCTAGTTTTGATCGAGGAGACGGGCCTAACTGGAATTAGATTAAAGTTGACAATATGTATTTTCATGTCTTAGAGTAGTTCTTTTTGTCTGATATGTATTTTCTAAAAGTTTTTTACGTTGGCATGTTCTTTGTTTTAACACAAAAATTATTATTTTAAATTTCTCGAATTATAACAATGGTTTAAACGTTTCCACCTTTTGTTGACATAAGAGAAGAAAAAAAAACATTTCTAGTTGGTTAAATTGAAATTTTAAATCATTGTGACGGAAGTTACTGTAAAATAGGGGTAGAGTAGTTTCCTTTTTGCTGTTGCAAATTCCTGAATTAATCTCAATTTTCTACAAACCAATACATTTAGTTCCAAATTTGTTTGAGTAACGGTACTGTTAATTTCCTGAGCTGTCGTTTTGTGGTTCAGTTTTCAACGTCTGCTTTTTCAGAATGTAACTTGATATAAATAACGATGACGTTAAACGCTTGCAAACGCGACGCTTTTTACTCTCTGCGATTTGGAGACTTATCGGATGAAATGCAGTTATCAATTCAAAATCCTACCTCATCCAAAGTCATATCTTTCCACCCTAATATTTACAGCAAACTCATTTGGGGCCGCAGTTTCTTAAAAATATCAGCTCCAAAGGTGAAAGTCGTTCCCGAAAATGATGACAAGATTCCGATAACTGACACGGTTTCCCAAAATGACCAGATTCTCAAAAGCCATCAGATTTCAAACGGTTATATTCCGCAAACTTCTCTGCTAGATCAATCAGAATCGCAAGATCGGATACACGACAGCAGTTCACCGCCACCACAAATAATCGAAGAAAGTGATCTGAATGATCAAATTGTCACGAAAGAAAACTATGATCAACAGTCTTCAGACTCCACTCAGAATGGATTTTACAGTCAGGAAGAATTCAAATCTGAAAATAACTCACATCCGAATGGTCTCATCGCGAAACACGATATTTCTGATGTAACAGAAAAGGCGGAACATTTAAATCTAGAAGAAGATAAAAGTTCAGTAAAAGCAGCAAAACCAGTTATGTGGAGCCAGTTATTTTCTGGTCAAAAAGCTAAATCTATCACTGTAACTGCACCGCCACCTATCTCATTAGCCGAAGAAAGCAGTAATCGTGACGAATTGATTGCTCTGGACCAATTCACATTTGAAATTGATTCCAAGTTGAGGCAAGTTAGATATTCAAATTTACCACGCGTTGTACATTTGAATCCCCGAGGTTTGAACAACTTCGGCAATCAGTGCTTCATGCATTCGGCTTTACAAGCTTTAGTGAACCTTCCTCAGTTTTATTACATGTTGGTTATGCTTCCGAACCGAACAACCCACGATTTGAAATGCAGCACGACTCCTATTCTGGACTCCCTGAAAGAATTCGTCAGTAACTTCAAAGTTTATAAGAGTGACAATAGAGGAAAGCAGAGACAGCAGGGTAAAGCGATGTCTGAGTTTTCGATTGAGAGTCCCTTTTCCCTGATGAAGAGTCTGTTGAGTCATAAGATCGTGGCACAGGGACAGCAGGAAGATGTCGAGGAGTTCCTCTTTTCAATTCTCGGTAAGTCCTCACGATTCTTTCTCTCCTTGAGCTTAATTTCATGGTTTCATAGGACAAATTTTACGCAAAACTATTTTTTGTCAGCTTTTATTTTCTAGGAACTGCCTCATGAATAGTTTTATGTCTATACTGTATACGAGTTTTAATGACCATACTTAGCTTGTGTACAAAAAAGTAATCCGCAATGTCTCATTTAGATTCTCTTCACGAGGAGTTTTCTGCAGTCCAAAATGTATACAGAAGACCAGAAGAAAAACGATCTCCAAATGCATCAGAACTTGGAATTGACGACGCTGATTCGTCCGATGCAGGAACTGACGACAATTGGATCTCAATGGGTCCCAAAAGACGAGGAAAAGTGGAACGAGAAGTCCATTCAAACGAGAGCATTGTCACCCAAATATTCGGAGGTCAAATGGTCACTGAAGTCAGGAAAAAGTCCCAAAAACCATCCTGCACGAAACAGAGATTTTTCACACTTCGTTTGGACATCAAAGATGAAACCATTAAAAATGTCCCTGAAGCTCTAATTAAAACGTTCTCAAAAGAGGTAATAGAACAAGATGGTGTGAACGAGTTAACACAGTTGTCCTACATTTCAAAACTCCCCGAAACTTTAATTCTGCAGCTCAAGCTATTTGTGTACAACGCCGAAGACAATGTCGTGGAAAAATTGAACAAAATGGTAGCATTTGATGAAAGTCTGGAAATTCCAGCATCGTGTTTCAGTGATGGTCGTTTGAATATGAACAAACGGTACAAGTTATTTGCAGTAATATATCACCATGGTCAAGATGCAAACAAGGGTCACTATTCGGCCTCGATATTTCATACGGGGCAGAGAATTTGGATTAGCTACAACGACGCAATAGTACAGAAAACAGATATAAACAGTGTGCTAAATTGTAATATCAACGAAAAAGTGCCCTATCTTTTATTATACAGAAAGTTTGACTAGGATATTTGCAGATGAGGAAGATGATATTTGTCGCCTTGTAAATAGATATGCCCGCTTGTTGTGTATTGTGTCTCATTCATATACGCAATTGTATTCAAAATTAATTCTTTGGAACTCAGTTTTGAGCAGTTTTGCAAAATTCTATGCGTGGCGTTTTCACAGCTCGGGCTTTATCATCAAATGAAATTAGCGGTTAGCCGCGTGGGTCTTAAAATTTGAAACTGTCTCATCGCTTAAAATTCCGAAACAGTTTTCATTGTCGTTTTGACAACAGTTTTTCCAATGGTTTTTGTACTGGAATTAAATAATTTAGATCAAGTATTGGTTTTTGCCAAAGGTTGTAATTTTTAAAACTGTCGATGAACGTAGTGAAAACCCTTCTATAGGTCTTGGTTATTCTGGAATTCTTCTCATTCAGTTGTATCAGTTTCAATCATGTCTCCAATTTGAAGTTTCTGGGTAACTTCTTTTCGGGCTATTAACGACGTAAAATAAATCACTTGAATTATTTGGCATGCCTATATTTTTGAGCATGTCTGCATCTTAATTGGACATTCTATTCGATGTTTTTTGTTGCCTTTGAATTTTTCTTTCATTTTTTTCCAATTCAGTGGTTTTCATCCTTTTTTTGTTAGCTGCCGCGTGGTTTTTGTGTTGTATCCGACGTGGCGCGAAGCTCCGTTGTGCCTATGTGTGTAGATTGATTCATGTTGGATTTTTTCAAAATGTTTTTAATGTTTATGCAGCTTCTTTACATAATTTTTTCGGCGTTTTTTCATTGTTTATTTACATCGAGAGGGTAATTTTCTTGTAATTGGTAGTTAGTTAAATCTGTAAAAACTTGAAGTACGGAACCCTACAAACTCCCAGACTGCTTGATCGAGAGGTAACGCGATTGCCTTTGCACCCTAAGGTCTTGGGTTTGAGTGTCAGCCTGACTTTTTTCAGAAAGTATTGCTCATCTTAGGATAATGTAGTGCTCAACTATTGTGCTCAATTTCTGGTTTAAATAACTCAAGTCGTTGGGTCTAAAAGTTCCAAGTTTGAAAACTCAATTCCAAAAAAATTTCATGTGAATTTTATGTCATTGTTAATGTTTTGGGCTCAATTAGTGTCGGCCTGGTTTTTGCGGTATCAGGGTTGGTTTTTAAAGTATTTTGTTCGGTCTCATTGTTCTGACCATTAAAAATGGGGAGAAACTTTGTATTCGTATGTGTTTTAGTTCGAGTGTCTTTTAGGTTTTTGTTTTCACGCAAAACCAGGGTTATTTTGTCTTTCTACCAAAAAAACTTTATCACAAACAATCATTGTAATGCGTGGAGTGATTTATCATATCAAAGGTCTTTCAGTACTGATTCGGTCGACATATTAGAAACTTGAAAAAATTTTCGAGAAAAACCCGTTTGAAATTTTGAATTAAGTCTAAGTTCGAGCGAGTGAAGCAAACGAACAGGCACAATATAGAAGTATAAGCCATAAGTTTTAAGTTTTTATTCCAGTAAATTTATTCATTGAATTTTTTTGCGCCGTTTTTGGAGTAAAACCCCTAATGCCCTTTACTTATTTTACTGTGACTGTTATATATGCCTAAGTTTCATCTTTTCATCACACCACGCAAAAAAAAACAACACTGTTTAAAAATGCATGAAATAACTTTTTCGGAAGACTATGTGCTACTTGCACAGCAACTGACTATCCTTATCTATTCGCTAGCTTGAAATGCTACGTTCGCATTTGATCGCAAGTGATGCGAAGCTCCGCTATGCCTATGAGTGTAACAAGCAAATACTTAAGTTTTTTTAAGTAATGATGAAAGAATTGGTTCCACAGATATTTGTTTTTTTGTCAGTAGAAATCCTTAATAATCATTCGCGCTCAAGTTTTTTTTGGTCTGATTTGTGATTTCTCCTTAAATTTTTTTCTTAATCATTTGCTAAATCTAAGGCAAAAAAATGTTTTACGCAAACAAAAGAGCAAATGGCTCGAAAAAATGTGAATAGCTGTTAGTGTCAATTTGAATTATTCATTTTTTAGAAATCACAGCAGAATGATAAATAACAATTGATCTTTTTTTTAAAATTTGAAAGACACGAAGGCGATCTAGTGCAGCTATGAAGAGAAATTAATTTTAACCTCTTGCGGCAAAATTTATATTTTAAAAGATTTTTTTGCTTTTTATTGCTGTTTTTAAAGTTACCTGATGCCATGTTTTGCTTGTTTGCTAAGTGAAACTTCTCGTCTGTGGAAATAGTTTGGATTATGTGGCATATAAATTGACCAATGAGCCAGAGGTATGAGTTTCAAATATCGAAATATGTTGAAAAATCTACTTTGCAAAGCACCTTTTATCTGGCAAATCACTTTTCAGAAGCTTTTTGTTCTTATGAAAATTTTATTCCTTGACATGTTTTCAAAAGTTTGTATTATTTCATTTCAAGGCTCTTGTCTTTTCATAATTCTGCGATGCAGTCCATAATGAGAAAAGTTTTTGAAGAGCCAGGATAAATGAAAATGATACTTTTTGGTAGGTGATTTTGTTTCTATGGTGCCTTCGTTTTTCAACAGTTATTCTGGTACCGCTTAATATCCATGTCGGCGCCTATTTAACTCAAATGGATGAAAATTGTTAAGAAAAAATTCAAAGACAAGTTGTGGAAGGTCTACTTTTGAGTGCTAAATATTTTGTGTTGGATATATATTTTTTCTGCAATTATTTGATTAAAATTGAGAAATTCTTGGCGGTTTAAAATCAACTAAATACGAATCAAGTGCTAGAGCTTTTTTCCATTTGCATTCTTTCTCGCTGGAACTCACGCTCTTAAAAAGATGACCATCAGGTGTCAAGCCAGATATTTGATCTGATTGATGCCCGAAAATTGTTACCTTTCAAGCTGAAATGACAAAAAAACCAATTAGTTCATAAATAGTTTCTTTTAAAAATCAAAATGCAGTCGAAACATCTTCCCCCACCATATTGTGATTAAAAAAAAACAATTTATAAACTAATTGGCACTAATTGGGTTTTTAAATCTAAATATGGTAGGTTCAAAATATAAAGTTTTTATCTATCAACTTTATGGCTATGGGAACTAAAAAAGGAGTGATATATTTTATTTATCTATGTGTTGTATATTTAAATCTACTCATGTTCCCTCGTTTAAGCTTTTTCAGCGAAATAATTTTGCATGTTTAACAAACGAAATATTGGAGGTTTAAGCTATATCGTAATTTGCAATTACTATGGCCAGTTTCGGGTTTTCCAGTTACTCTTCCTATGTCTACTAATTTTTCATATTTAAACTACCATATGTCCACAGGTTTAATTCATTTCTGAAAGTAAAGATCGTTCCGTTCTCTAAAATTTTTATTAAAGAATACCAAACGACTATTTCGTTACCACGCGATCTTTCGATTCGTTGATAATGTGGGGTCAGTCAATCGTAAAATGAAAAGTCTCTGCAATAAGCGCGATGGACTATACTAAAGTCATTTTTGGAGATAAAAATAAAGCAATTTAAGCATTGAAGTGCGCACGTTATGCGCTTAACCAGACAACGCAAGAGAGGATGATAAAATATCAAGCCTATTTGTTATTCTGAACCATCGTTCAATGTCGCGTGCGAGTTTGCAGGAAAGGAAAAATGAGAAGTTTTTCAACCGGATTAGAAGATTTCAATCAGTTTAAAAAAGCTGGCGAATTGTAAGCTAAAAGGCTTGATAATCACAACAAATATGCTGTCAAGTGAATCGAAATATATTTTCTTTGTTTTTGTCTGCACATCATGATGAAATAACTGATAGTTATGAAATTTGTAAAACTTAAATCACCCATCAGGGGAAAACAATTGTCCTGATGGCATCAGTAGAAAAATGATTGATTGATTTTCTCGGGTTTTTAGCAACCCAATAGTTGCTTCATACAGAAGCTTTCTGATATTTTCCAAATTAGTTCAAATAAATCGATTTTGAAAAAAAAAGAATTTCTTCGAAGATCTGCTTATTTTCAGACCAATAGTCTGCTTTCAACAATTGACGTGGATTTCGAATATTTGATTATCGAAATTGATACTTTTATTCGAAATTCTTGCTCCTGAACAATTTAGATAAAGGAAAAGTCATTCATGTATCCAAATTATGATATTAGCAACGTAAACTATGTGATGATCCAAAGATTCCAAAAACGTATACTTGCTGCTTTCATGTAGTTCCAAAAACGTTCGATACCATCGCTCATAGTGTTTGCTGAAAAAGTGAAATGGTTATGGTTTTAGTTGTGTTTTATCCAAAGTGTGTGTCCAAACAGAATTAACTCCAATTTGCTTCAAACATAGTGTGGTTCTGCGCATGGGCTAGTTCGTGGAAGATATTTGAAAATGTTGAACTGTGGTGACAATGCATGACAATGTCTTGCAATACTGAAAACTAAGCTTAGTAAAAATGCTCAAAAATTTTAAGATGTTGTCCTGTGGTGCAAATCCAATCAAACATCAGCTCATATTAAAAGGTAGCAGTTACTTCATTTTAGACGGAAGACAGAAAACTTTGAGGCATCTTTAGAAGAAAAAACGGAATATACAAATAATTTCAACATATTACGGTGTCGTGAAAGGCAGTGAGGTTTGCTTCCATCAGAATTTTGATATTATTTGCAAAAAGTTAGCTCGTTTCATAACGCTCATTCCGATTACGTTTAAAACACGAAGTGAGTGTCTACTTCCGCCGAAGAGTTTCGCTGAATTAATTCGTATTGTTTTTAAGTGTGTTTTGAGGAAAAGTTTAAATGATAACAATTTTATGTTCGGCCCAATATTTATAATTAAAAAAAAATTTAATTCAGATTTTTGGCACGTATACTTAAATTCGGTGCATAGACATTTATGTCCCAGACATTTGTGTCCTTGACAAAACAGTCCGAAATTATAGAACATTTCTTCGATCAAGAATTCAGCATTTTTCTGTTCGTCTTGAAATTTTTCTATGAGTTCGGGAAATGATAGGTGCTTGCCGTTCACGAGCTTGACGAAGTTGCTATTCCAACCTTCAACAGCATTGTTGGTTCTGGGTCGCCCGGTTATCACACGTTGATGACAACTCCAGCTGTCAACGTCAAATCTGGGGTTTTGACGGGTTCCATTTGCCGCTGAGAGCCGACCAACGTAATTGTCCTCAAAGTAATTGAAGATCGGGTGGGCTGTCTCAGGGCATGTCTTCTCTGGTGCCATCGCAGAACCAATCATCAGCGCCACTGGGAAGATCAAGTCCCAGAAGAGTCGTGAAAACCATTATTCGCTTGGTATCATTAGGTCCAGAGTCAAAATGAAGGAAACGCTCGCCACTGTGTCACTTTCAGCAATTCTGGCAATTCAAAATCAGTTAAGGATTGGGGTTCCTGCATTCTGGGCCGTTTTTTCTGTTTTACTCTGCTAATCGTCCTCTGGTTGGCGGAATAGCTCGGGATTACTGTTGCAGTCTCTGTTGATCTCTCTTTGGACGGAAAGAATTGTTTGACGTGGTGGCTCATCTGCCACAACTGCTCTTGTTTTGAGAGCTGTCCTAAATTTTCGTTTTTCAATATCGGCTGGATCGGGAAAATGACTGTGATCGTTTATGATAGTGACGTTATCGTGGAAAGTGCGCACACGGCCATTGCATTTAGAAAAAACACATCGCCACGAAATTGAGATGTCTGTTAGAATCCGATGTTTGAAGTATGCGTATGCATCATAAACTAGCATTTCGTTGTTTTTGTTCGTCATAAGAATTTCCCTTGTAAACTTGAACTCGAGAGCAATAACAATGAAATTATGATCTCTCGTGCCTTTGTTTGGCAACATTATCAATCAAGCGATAATTGTGTAGGTATGTGTAAATGGAGTCCTGAGTTAATTTTGTCTCTAATATGCTGCGCAAAGTAATTTCTGGTCTAATTGCTCAGTTGCGTGGCCTTATCAATTTAATCCTTCCTATTGAGAGCTTATCAAATCAATCCGGTCATTAACTAGTGTGGCAATAGCCTGGACAGTTTTGGGACAATTTTGTGTGGGAACCAAATGTGTGGGACACTTTTTGTATTTTGGACTGTTTTTGCCGGGACATAAATTTCTGGGACACAAATGTCCTGAAACGTTAAATTCAGTTTCGTAAAAGAATCAACCATATAAGATATTTGAAATTTTTAATTTTTTTTTGAAATTCAAAGGCCCATGTGAACATCCCCTCAACACCACATCGGCCAAGTGAACTTTCTTCCCCACTTCAATCAAATAAAAGACGAATTCAACAATCTATGGGATAGAATTTGTCATCCTTGGGTAGAATTAATAGCAGGCATAATTACCCTTAGATTTCTATTCGGTCCAGTAAATATCGTTTTGATAATTTGGACAACTTTGACGGGCTGATAGCAATCCAAGTTGTTTAAGTTTATATTTAGATAAGTCATAATAGGACTAGCAAGGAACATTCGTTTCATTAAAATACATGAGACCAAGCGGCTTTTTAATTGGTCAAATATTTGCTCAACTTAATTTATTTCTTTTATCTCAAAAATACTGCATTCTAATAGATTGAAAATCCGCATTATGCAATTTGCTAAAAAGTGAAAAAAAAAAAACAAAGTGAATTTTATCCCACTGTATCCATTTGGGGGGGATTGTTCACGTGGTCTAACTCAAAATCGTTTTTTAAGAAAATCTTTATTTTTGGTTTCAAACTGTCTTGCTTCGGTTAAGTTTCATTTCGTAATGGTGCAAATGAAAAACAAGGGCGTAAGCTTATTTTTTTCTCTAATTTTCCTCCTAAAAATGACTCAAAAACAAAAGACAAGCAAATTGAGAGAAATTTTTGAACTTAATTCTCAAAGATCATCAAAAAATCTGACAATTCATAAAAATTTGTTTCTTATTTTCTGCGATCCTTGATGTTTCATTGGAAAACAACAGAAACAGCCTCAACTGCGGCAAAAATACTGCAAGTGAACGATTCAAATCAATGCGACATAGGTTTCCTGGATTTTGATGTCCGAAAAAATATATTTGTTTTTATAGCATGGCTGTAACCTGTTTCATATCATTTTTGCTTCACATTATAATGTTGTCAATTTAAAAAAATCGTAAAACCTTGAAGTTCGAGAAAACGAGACATGTGGGCAAAGACTGCATTGGTTCGCTCAGTTAAATTGACTTTGTAGGCTCTTCACTGTAAATAAATGAGAACGGTCTTCTTAACTTCGAGCAAAGGTATCTTTATTGGATTGAAAAATCCATTATAAACCCAAAATTCTGCTCCGAATCTGTCAAGGTTTTTGATTCGACTTTCGCAGAAATTGAGGAATATATATATCAGGGGCGGATCTAAGATTTTCCTCGAGGGGGGGGGGGGCGGATTTTCAAAAAAAATTCGAAAATTTTTTCGACCTTTTTTTTTAGGTCGATCGAATTGAATTTTGAGCTCTCCCTAAGCATGGTTTAGTCCCTTTTTTTGGCAACATTTTCTGCGCCGCAGGCAAAAATTTGAAAAAACAGTCCAAAAAAGGCGTTTTAGGCACTTTTTGGAAAATGTTGACCAAAAAATATCGTTTTTTCGGCGCGCGCTCCCCCCTAAAAATAGAATATATTGGCGCCAAAGGCGCCTTTAGAAAAATTTTAGGGTCGGTTAGCCAAAAATGGATTTCTTAAAAAGTATCAAAGGGGGACCCTTTGGGTTGGCAGGGGGTCGAATTCCTGAGAGCGGGCGTCTGCCAAGCCCCCCGCCCCCCTAAATCCGCCCCTATATAAGCATGGGGTGGTATTTTTCAATTCAAACCATTTTCAAAGTTGGCAGCATATGGGTATCGATTCGGAAATCTTTGGATTGCCAAGCGAGTATGCTTGCACAACACAAATGCGGTTAACATCGGTTATCTAATAAAAATTTCATAGTTTCAATACTCGATTTTTTTACGCGTGGTAAATTATCTGAGCTCATAATCGTTCCAAACTGAAACAAAACTGCGCGTATCTGAGTGAATGTTCCGACTGCCTTTTAAGGTCTATGGAGCAGTAATGACATAAACAACATAAAATTTGAGAATTTTTCTATGAAAATCATCCCCCCACACGCCATATAAAGTTCAAAACAATAGATTTCGCTCCTTGTAACAAATCAATTATGGCAAATAAGCTTCTTTAAACCAATTTAGAATGATTTCTAAAACGGATGAAATCTCCGCTTACGCGTCAATAGCGCGAAATATATCACGCGTTAATTGTCCCAAATTGGCTAAAATGGCCAAAATTGCTCTAATAATTGCTTTATCGATTAGCTCTTATAAATCAATATTTGTCAGTTTTTCTGCTCTTGAGCATTCTGCTGATTGACTAGTCTACTCATGTTAGCACTTGGATTTGAGATTGGCAGTACCAAATTTACATTTAAACAAAAATTGATCAAACACTATTCGAGACCAATTAAGGGACAGTTGGAACATTCAGGGCTGTTACTTTCAGGAACACAGATATACGAGCAGTCTTGTTTTATTGTTCCGACTTTCGATACGAAAGTAACGGAATATTTGTGCTCGGGTGGGTTTTTTTTCATTCAGACAAATTTCGACTTTTTAACTAACCATTTTTGATGGAGTTTTTTATATCATTCAAAAGTTATTGTTATCCTGAGCTTAAATTTGAAAAGATATTTCACCTGTGATCATTTTTCGTAAAGTTATGGGGGTTTAAAAATTGCCATTTTGACCAATTTGGGACATTTAACGCGCGATATTTTTCGCGCTATAAACGCGTAAGCGGAGATTTAACCCGTCTTAGAAATCGTTTTAAATTGGTTGAAAGAAGCTTATTAGCCATAATTGATTTGTTACAAGGAGCGAAATCTATTCTTTTGTTTTTATGGCGTGTGGGGGATGTTATTACTGATCCCTAAACCTTAAAAGGCAGTCGGAACATTCAGGGCTTCGCCCTGATACGAGCAGTCTTGTTTATGTTTGTAAATCATTACAATTTTTTCTAGAATGTTTGTTATTTCTCGCTTAATTTCAAGAAACCCAGTTTGTCTCCGAAACTTCCGAAAAATATCCAGCGACTGGAGTTTTAAACATGAAACTTCGGAACATACTGTGCCGAATAAAGAACAGAAGAAACATCAACTAGTATACGTACTTGAGGACAGACATCGATTCTATTCAAGAATGGATATGTTTCTTTCTTGCTTTTGTCCTGCTGGGTTAACATTTACAACGCTTATTGTTGCGGTAAGTTTGTTGGTTTCTTAAGACTATTTGTCTGCTCGATGCAAATTAATCACGGTTGAATTTTTCTATTTGGATTAGATGATCATTTTGCGGATTAGTTTTGTCGAAGACCATTTTCATCCAGTTTCTTGAGTGTTCGACCACTTCACACGAAGTTAAGGAAAAGAACTATGACTTAGGAAGCGTTTTTATTCCCGATTTTGACAAATTCAAGGAAAGATTGTATGGGTCACGTGTCGTATAATTACTTCTCGTTCTGCATTTTTTACCTAATTTAATCACCCTTTAATGTTAAAAAAAATCGAAAGAGTTTTTTTTGGGTTTGACTTTATTTGAAAAGCCTAAATTATGGCGGTCGCACTATTCTGTGGTATTTGCACAGCAACCTGCTATCCATGTTTTTAGCTAAGCCCTTGCTAGTCCGCTGTGAAATTGGGCGCGTATCTATTGAAAAGGTGTCGATGATCAATTTTGTTTCAGTTTCAAATTCCGAGAGCGGATCTTCTTCAAATATCACTTGTGTTTTCACTTTTGGGTATGTAGCTCTTTCAAGTTCCCACTTCACGTTTGCTTAATCAAATTGAAGGTAATTTTTTGACATCCAGTTTGCTCTCGAGCATCCTGATAGTTTGCCCCCCCCCCCCATCTGGCCAATATCTGCTTCGGTTGTTTTAGTACCATGATTTTTTAAGAGTTTTTCAGTTTCATTGATTTATAAAGCTGATAAGCAATTGAGGGTAACAAATTTATGACCATACTTTGTAACTATTGTAATATTATTCCTTTCATGACAAGATAATTTTGAAATTGAATGGAATTTTAATTGGACCAAAAAAGCTGGTTGGAAGTACCCTATCCCCGTGTAAACCAACAGGATTGATCTATTGATGTAAATAATCTTTTGGGGGAAAACTTGACATAATTGCCTGGTTTTAGGGTTTATTAACTACTTACATAGTGCTAGAAAGCACTATCGAACAATCGCCCGACTAGAGTTCAGCAGAGACGAACAGAAATACTACATGTGGTTAAACAAAGAGATCAGGTCAAAGGCAATTGCGTAAGTTTGAGCTTTTTCCACTCGAGATTTTTTTTCAGAGTTTTTCAATTCAGAAATTTGAAAAAGTGCGCAAAGTAGTGTAAAAGACGTAGATCGTTACCAAACATCCCTCCAAACTGATGGGCTCTCAAACTCCAGAAATAGCTTTGAAAGAAAACAGCCTTAGTCGACAGTCTTAAGAGAAGTTCACGACGTACTCCTGTTCAACTCCGCTGTGGATAGAGCACGCAATTAAGTAGTTATCTGTCGAGATTGGGCTAAACATCAAAAACAATTGCCTTAACTTTAACTCTAATCCACATGGCATACGCCACCTCTTTAACTGTCCATAGAAGCCAACATCTCGAAAACTAGACTACTGTGGGCAGTTGGAAAATGGTTCAATTTACCAACATAACGGCACAAATTAGGAGTTTTGCACTAATTAAAAACTGTCAGCTGAAACCGGGCACGGGAGTTTTGCTCCTCGGTTCTCTGTTCTAAAAACTGCCCCCTTGATCGAGCTCTACTCAGTACTGTCGATTGTGGAGTACTGAAAATAAACGACAATGAAGACATCCTTCCTTTTGAAGATATCCTTCCTTTCCTTTCCCCCAGACATGAGTTGGACGATCCTTCCTTTTGCAGCTACAAACAACAACAATAACAAAACGTATATTTGCTTAAAATTGTCGGTGATGTGTTTCTTCGAGCATGAGAATAGCTCCATTAAATGTTTGATAAAAAAGGCTATCATATATGCATTTGCACCCAAAATATCTTAAAAAAACATACCTGCTGTTGTATTCAATTAGCAGCGTTTTAATGTTCATCGCCTTAAACAGAACCAGTGTTCCTGCTAGAACAAGTCTAAGCCGTATTTCAGTCGGAAAGTAAGTTTGTTGCCTTCTTTAAAAACCAAATGAGGTGCCAAGGCCATTTAAGTCATAACAGGAACCTCAGCTGTTTTGGTTTTTTTTCGGTGTTCTTAAATTGCACACCAATTGTCATTTTTTTAAACTGAAAGTCTAACAATTTAGGGATTAGTCGACCTTGTTTATCCTATGTGAGTCTCTGTCCTCCTTGATTTAATTGAATGATGAAAGTATTGATGACATATCTGTACATCATATGTTCAAATGAATTAACGAGTTCTTTTTTCTTTAGGCAAGTCGCTCCTTTCTCGGCTGAAGACACTGTATTTGACAGCTCAGTTTTCCAATTTTCAATGCCGCGATACCTCAAAGTCAAAGGGCGCATGGGCAAATACCATTTCCACCCACGTGGTATATTCGACTCAAAATTTCTAGGCAAGTTTCTATTTTTCAACGTTAATTTTTATTTCAGTTGTGAAATCACTGATTATCGTTTCAGCTTCTTGGACTAAGAGCAGCCGGAAGTAAATCTTTCTGAACCAGCAATTGTACATTTGAAATAGACTTTTTCATTTGTGAAATTAAGTTAGAGTAGCAAAGAAGTGAGGAAACATTGCTGGTCAATTTTGTCTGCAGGCTACCTTGAGTTTGATAATATTGGTAGCGGGGGCATTGAGAGGATGGCCCAAAAGCAGACCCCTAAAGAATTAGAAATAGGATGAGATTTATAAAAAAACTGCTCGAATATCAGGGCAATTGATTCTACTCATGTACTCATATTCTCTTCGACCGGCCTCCATGAAAAATTTAAAAGTATTGTTTTCGATCTTTCTTGGCCATAACGAAAAATTTTGTGGTGCTTGATGGAAGCTTCAAAACATCTCATTTTTTTACGAAAAGAAAACCAAAGAAATAGGGACTGCTAATTTCATGTATTGGGCGTAGAAACATCTCAATTGTCCGATCTTTCTTAGATCTGACCTTGAAAATGTTTTGTTTTTCAGATCAGACGAATTATGATTTCAAATAGTCTCCGTAGATTTAACTGGCGATGTATCCGATCTTTCACTTATCAACGTCAGAAAAACACCGCATTTAATCTAATAAGTGTTCTCAGTCCAAGAGTATGTTCACTAATGGGCCAACGAGGCTCGAAAATCAGTCGAGATCAGCTGACCAAATATTTGCAGAAAAGGGGCTCCAATGTGTTGTATGTGGCTCATCAAAATCGAGACGTGAAAGTGATCCGGTTGATGTTTATGGGAACAATGGCTGCTACTCTTTTTCTTACATGGAACGTCAAAGTAAGATTTTTATTGTTCCGACCATTGAAAATGGAGAGGAACTTTGTATTAGGGTGTGTTTTAATTTTTCTCTTTGTTTTCCATGCAAAATAGGTACAACAAATAATCATCGGAATGGGTCGAGTGATATATGATATAAAAGCCCATTCAGTCGTGATCCAAACGATATTTGAAAAATTTGAAAATTTTTTGCATGGTCGAGAAATACGTTTAAAAATTTTTTCGTAGGAGTAACGCGATTTTTTTTGCATGGTCGAGAAATACGTTTAAATTTTTTCGTACGAGTAACGCGATAGATCAACGTTCGTGATGTATAACAATTGATGGAAATTGGTCAATTGATCTAAAAAAAAAGCTTTGGGTTCAACTTGAAAAGAAAAACTAATTGTGCAAGCTTAATTTAGCGCTTCCTTGGCGATCAAAGTTTTCTAAAAAAAATTTTAAACAGTAATGTGCAAAAAAATGTAGAAATTAGAATTTTTTAAAAATTTTTATGCCATTGTTGTTTTTAATTTTTGATGGTAACTGCTGTCAACTTTATCTAAATTGTTAGTTTTATAGGCGTTTGTTTATTTCTCTTATCTCACCACCCTCAAAAAAAACGGCACTAAATTGAAGAAAAAATTGAAAAAAGTTATGTATTTTTATGAAAGTGGTTGGAACATTCTGTGCTACATGCACAGCAACCTGCTATCCTCGCTTGATTTGGAATTTTTGGATTGCTGTTTTTTTTTCATAAAAGCGAATAATTCGTTTTCCTTTTAGGTTAACAGGAGAAGATCTCATCAGTAGTGTATAACATAACAGGAGTGTTTTTTTTAGTTTATCTTAGTAGCCCATTTCTATTGATCGCCTAGTTTTGCATACGCGCAATTGACTGGAATACGTGGATGAGTTTCAAACGTTGTTGAACCTCAAGTTTTTGTCTTTTTAAGCCGTTTTTTTTTAATTTCATTATTTATGACTTTTTTGACGAAACTTTGAAGAAAATAGTAACTGATCATTATTGCCTCCTTGGGCTTTAATCTAATGTAAGTTGCAGGTTTTTTATGTTCAGTCTCTTTCTCCGTAGAGTTCAGATACTATTTAGTTTCAATGAACATAGTGAAGATACTTAATATAAGTCGTGTCGATTTTTTTTTCGTTTTTGCTTGTTCTTAGTTCACGCTCATTTTTTTCAAGCTTCATTCAAAATCTAAATTTAGTCATTATCAACTCTAGTCTTATTTTTTTCTACGAAAATAATTGGTCGTTTTAAAGGAGTGTAGTTATTTATCAGTCATTTACGTCGGGATTGAGGCTAAATTCCCCCGATATAGTTGCTTAGGACTAAAGTCCTCTAGGAAAAATACACTTTTTTGAATTCAATATCCTGGTAATTTAACTGTTAAAGTTGCATGAATTATAATTTTTTTTATTGACTCCATTTTATCTACCATGTAAACAAATGCATTTATCGTTTTTTTTGCGTGACTTTCTGCAATTTTAACGAATCAACTCACATTTGACTGCATATAAAGTTAAGCTTTGAATAAGACAATTAATCAGCCATGTGCCTCAGTTGGTAAGTCAAATAAATGGGAAAAAGGTTCTCAGCGAGTCATCGAATCCCTCATCTGACATTTTGCGCAAGTGAATAAAATTTTAATTGCATTTAACCCACAGGCGTAAAAATCCCAATCCCCTTTCGATGGGGATGCGGGATAGTGTTGAAGGAAGTCCTCTTTTCCTGGAAACCCTCTTTTTTACCTATCTAAAACTTAAGACCTCTAGGACTACTACTGATTTGGGGTTTGCATAAGTTTTTAGCTTAAAGAAACGTTAAATTTAGAGATTAGAGATTCAAACCCAAAAACTCCCAGAATAATTATCGTTTCTCAGGTTTGACGCTAGTTTGCTATTTCATTTTGATCCCCATTTTAGCAAGTAAACATTTGTCTCCGGACTCAAAACGTTCATTTTTTAAGTACTAGTGAGCGGAGTTTGAAAAAATTCGGGGATTTTTTGTTCAAATAGGATTTGGTCTTACGAGAGATTATATCTTGTAGATTTTTCACTGGGTGTTTCTTCATGGAGGGCTTAATCCACGAGCGATTTAGGTCGTACTTTGTTTCGTTTTTCTTCAAAGAAAATTTATAACATTTAGTTTGCGCCAAAATTTGCTTTTTTTGCGGTTTGAATTCAAGTCTTAAGAGTTTTACCGTTACGATAAGCTTGGGCGTGGCAATCGGGTACTAGGCTTTGTTTCATGTAAAAACTTTGGTCACAGGACTCATCTCAAGTGGACGTTTGGACTCATCTCAAGTGATACCTTGTTTCATAATTAAATCAAATTTTTTCTTGGTCCACTTGTCCTAGAGGTAACGAATACGCCTGCGACGGCAATGATCCTGAGTTCAAATCTGATCAGGACCTGTTTTTCAAACGGGAAATTATCTGTTTCATATAAAATTGTCGGCAAATAATTTGTCGGATTAGTTGCCACATCTTGGAATATTTTTTTTTGCTGTACGCATTTTTTGTTAACTGTTCCTTTTGGTGTTTGGTTTACTCCTGCTTTTCGTAATTTCACTGAACGAAAACGTTTCTTAGTTTTTTTTGTTCGACTTAAACACTTCATTCGACCCAAATCATTTCGGCCTATTTTTTGTCGGCTTAGTGACCTAATTTTGGTCGTTTTAAGGGAAACATAATTTGACGCTCCCCTCCGCACTTTTCAACTTGGTTAAAATTTTACCACTCGGTTTGTTGAAATCTTTTCCTTTTTTTTCAGCTAAATAGGTTTCGGCTTATAATATATCAGCTCGTTTGAAGAGCAAAAGGTTTTTAATTAAACATTTTGATGGAAGACTTGAAAGTTTTTTTTTTCAATTGAGTTTTTCCAGTTAAATCGTTTTTTTTTCGGCGCAGCGTGTATCTGCTCAAGAATTCTCGGCTTTATAAGTTTTAGTCGATACTCGGTTTACATTCAATTGTTTAATTTCTTGGCATATTTTCTTGAAATGAAATTTTTTTTGACAAAATGAAGACAAAGATAGGAAAGTTTTTGGTAGATCATTTTTTAAGGTTTTTTTTACGGCTTTTATCTCAATTTCTGTCGGTTAGTTTGTCATGCTATGTATGTGTTGTATTGCAATTAAAGCGAAGCATCAATGTAAAATCAATAATGACAATGTAAAACTGATTTTTGAAAGTCCAGTTGGGGGACGGGAGACTAGCCGGTTAGTTTTATGGAAAATTTCAATTAAAAAAAAACTTAGTTCAAAGAGCTTCTAGGTGAAATAATTTTTTTTTCAGAATTTCCAAAATTGGAAAATATTCACAAATCAATCAATTTTCCGTTTTACTTGTTCCTGGGCATTTTCCCACTAGTCTCCTAGCTATGTTTTTTTATTCTTTTGTGTTCATTGACATTTTTTCAACAACCTGTTTGCAGTTTTTTCTACAGATACAGCGGCATGAAAAAGTGAAACCTTTTGTAAAAGAGTTTTATTGGTATCATTTATGTTGTCTCAGGAGACTCTCACTCAATCCATAGAAAGTGGGAAGTTGTTTCAAAACTGGGTCTACAAATTTACAGTTTACGGCATGCCAGCAATAAGTTAGTACTTTTGTCAATCACTTTTGATTAAATATCATAAATATCAATTAATTGATTTGATTTAAAAAAAAACTATTGGAAGATTTATAATTTGTTGGCAGGTTTTATAATCTTCTTGATTGTGGCTGCTCGCCTACGGTCGTATGTCTGCAGAATGGAGTACATGCCAAAATCGGATGCGGTTTTGATCCAGTGTGAAACAGTTCTGGGCTTGAAATACAGGCAAGTGTTAAATTATTTGTTTTGGGCCGAAGTCTCAGGAGGGTTTGTTTTTGCTTTGAGCGTTCGATTAGGAGGTTCTGTGTAACAATTGAATGGCTGCCTGACGATGCATTTTTTGTCTGTTGGTTATTTTATATATGAAATTTCATATGTGAAATATGTAGGTGATTTCATTTGAAAGGGACTTAACGCTTGAAAGCTGCGTTCTGCTGCTCGTGTTTTTAAATTCTTAATATTAAAAACGGAGAGAATGTCACTTATACAGATCGCGATGATTTGTTTTTTTTTCAAGGAAAAAATTATGAAGTTGGTTCACGCTCAAAGGTTTTTCGTGATTTGACTCTGTTAATTTCCTTTGCTCATACTAGCTAACTTTAGTGACCGGCGGCAGTATAATAGTACGACTATTCTTTTTTTCTAACATAAGTAGCAAATATTGATCCCACTTTTGGTGGCACCTTTACGGCTTTGTGATAGCACGTGACCGGTAGCGTGATAGCAAACTTTAGTGACCGGTAGTGTTAAAGTACGACTATTCTTTTTTCTAACCTAAGTAGCAAATATTGATCCCACTTTTGGTGACACCTTTACGGCTTTTTGATAGCACGTGTCTTGACGTTCGAATACTAGTAAGTTAACACAGTTGATGGATTTTAAATTCATCAAATGAACAGAAAAAAGATTTCCCTCCATAGCAATTTTTTAAGAATCAATGAACGTAGTGAATACTTGTATAGGTCTTGGTGTTTTTTTTTCACGCTCAAGTTTCATTAATCGCGATTTGATTTCTTTTCAAGTTCAGTTCCTTTCCTTTGTTTACCCAAGCAAAGCTTGTGTTATAGTATGAACTCTCTTTTTTTTTCAACCTAAGTCGCAAATATTGTTGCGACGCAAATATTGTTGCAACAAAATGAGTTCATTTTGATCAATAACCAGCTATTAAGTATAGCCATTGCTAAGGATATAAACACAGACTATTATATTACAAATAGCACTTAAGCTCCAAGATATCATGGATCTGTAGCGTAGAGGTAGGGAAGGATACGAATAACAAAATGAGAGGGTTCGAACAGGATTGGATGTTTTTAATTATTTTTTTTTCGTATACTAGCTAAACTGCCTCCGCTCTATAAATTGAGGCATGTTAGTTGGTAAATTTCTTTTTTTTTCAAATTGACTGGTACTGCTAATGCGTCATAATTGGCTTGCGTCACTTAGTATTTATGTAGACTCAAAAATGTCGTGCGTCACTTAAGAAGTTTTGTAGACTCATTCAGTTTTTCCCATTTGCGTTATCGGTCAGATTATTGCTTGTGTATGTGAAGTGCAACTTCACCTCAGTGTAAATTTTACTTTATAAAGCTATTTTCTTGTGTTCTTGCAATTTTCTGAGAAGCGCTGCTTCGCCTTTATGTTAAAGTTAGGCAAAGTCACCAATCGAACAGCAAAAAATTAAAGTGCACTAAAATTGTGAATGACTACTAGTTTCAAAAAATGAACTTTGATTTTCTGAATTCTCGAATTTTGGTAACGTTACGAAAAGAGTGCCAGTCATAAACCATTTTTGAAGCTCAAAAAGCTTATGGTCATATAATTTCTTTTTCGAGAGTGGAAAAATGTTGAAAAAATTTCAATCTCATTTTTTTTCGTTCCTGCAGTTTTTTGACACTTCCAACCCTCTGTTGTCTATGAGAACTAATCGCATGCGCAAAGGGCATATTATAAAGTTGTCATTAAATCATTTCATCTCCGGGTCTCATTTCCTAATGCTTTCTTTTCCAACTTCTTTAGTGTTTAGAAATGATGATAAATGGTTTAAAAAATTGGTGTTTTTCTTTTGAACAATGTCGTCTGTTATCCCGGCTGTATACCGATTTATTCGTCTCGGTCGCGACTGTTTCCTGTTTCCATTGTGAAGCTCTTTTAAACAGTAATTTTGGTTTTAAAACGTATTTCACCTAATTAATTTAGTTTCCCAAATGACTTCTACTGCTGGAAATATTTGAATATTTAAACGCGTGTGATTAACAAGTGCTCCAAAGTTCCCGCATAGACTTTTTCATGTTAAAACTACAGAATCAAAGAATCATTTGATAAACCTGGCACGACGAAGGGTTTGAATCCGGCCAGGGTTTGTTCTTTTTTGCAAACGGAAATTTATCAGCTGAAAAAGTAAATGCCGGGCTATCGTTTGTTTGCTTAAGTTTGTCGGCTGATTGCCGCAGCACGGGTTTTCTTGTGATTAAAGGATTTTTTCTAGTAAAAAATCCTTTCGATGTTTTCCGGCAGTGGTGCATTTAATTAAGTTCCAAGAAATATCGCTGAACTTTTTTCTTTTAGAAGAAAGCAATGAATGCAGCCTTGTCTTTTTTTGAGTTACTTGTTTTAGTGATTGCAAAAATTCGAGAAAAGCACCGATGTATCCGTTTTTCACAAATGATGTTTTTCCGGGTTTGAGTCTGTTAAATGAGCTTTAATGAATCATAAGGGTGCTAGAAAATGGCTAGATCGTGCCCACTCCTGAAATGTTGTGATAAATTGAAGAATGACGCCATGTTTTACAATTAGCTTTTCACGCTTTAATAATGGCATTTATTTTTCTTTACAACAAGTGGCGCGAAGCTCTGTTTCGCCTGTTTTGAATGCCTTGCAAGTAGATATAAAGTTGTATCCGTTTTTTCTTGGCTACTGGAGCATCGAGTAGTCCACTTAATTCTTTGAAAATTATCGAAACTCTTTAAAATGATAATTTGTTGAAACTGACAGTTTTTGCTTTAGGTCTCTCGAAGTAAGCAGAACCAAGCTGCAAATATCTCCGAAAGTGGCCAACAAACAAATATCTGCAAAAATTGACGGACATTACATACCTTTCACTTTGGCAGTGGATGCAGATTTCAACGACACTGTCTTGTACTCGTTGTAGTTTTTGTGCGAGTTAATATTCCGACGAAAACTGAAGATGAGTTTAGACCAGTGCTGGGATTCGAATATGGAATTTTGGCGTTTCTATGGACAATGAACTGAATAATTGGAAAGTTTATCTTTGAAATGCTTCCTTGAAGAAAATAGTAAACGAGTCTTGAATTTGTTGACTTGCCTTGTGTGTTCGATAAATATTGAGTAAAAACTTCTTGTCGATACATTTTTTGAATATTTCAGTCGTCAAGTTGTTAATCGAATCAACAGCCTATGCTCCTTAAATTTCAGTTATTTTTTATGGTTTGAATATTCGACATATTCTACTAAAAATACTGAAAGTATACACATAGTAGGGTCTTACCCAGAACGAGGCTGCTTGAAGCAATTGTTTTCTTGGTTTTCGGAGTTTTTTAATAATCTTCTCCGATAGGCAACAAGTACATCATGATCAAAAATGATCGTAATTGATTTTGAGTTGCATTCATTTGTTGCTTTGCTTTATTACCCTAGCGAAAAGCAAGGGTATTGCTATCGGGTACTAGACTTTTTTTCCCGTAACCAACTTCAAAGAATGATCAAAATGGAATGGTGAATTTAGACCCAGTTCATAATAAACTCATTTTTCTTTGCGTTTACGGCACTCTTGGTCTGGTGGTAACTAATACGCACGGGAAGGCAAAGGTCTTGGGTTCGAGTATAATTCCACAATAGAATTTATTTTTTTGGGTGTACGCAAGTTATATTGTAGTTGATTTCAGTGTCTTGATTTTTTTTCTGCTATTTGTAATTTTACTAATTTTGTCTTCATATTTTCTTTTTTTTGCTTAAATACTTTATTCTGCACAATTGATTTCGGCTTATTTTTATCGACTTGGTGACTTTTTTCTGAGTCGTTTAAAAAAACCATATTTTTATGCTCCACTGTGGATCGCACAAAATGCTAAATATCTTATTAGAAATTATAGTTTTTTGTGACAACTTTTTTTCGGCTTTTTTCTTTTCCTATTTGGTTTGCTTGATAGGTTCGGGCCTATATATTTTCGGCGTAAGTGCCTCTTATTACGTCTTTCGACAAGCGATAAAAAACTTTAAACTTTTTTGTGTATATTTTGAGGGTGAGGGGTACTTAATAGTTTTTTTAATTTGTTTTTACTGAATAGGTTTCGGCGTATATTATATCGACTTAGTGACCTCATATTGTTGCATTTGAAAAGCAAATTAAGTTGTGTGCTTGTTTTGAGGGTGAGTGTGACTTAATTCATTTTGATAGATCTAGTCTTTTCGACATTTTCGATTTTTTTTTATTTAGCGGCTTTCTGGTTCTGTATTGCAAAGGCGCGAAGCTAGGCTTCCTTTCTGTTTGGAAAATTTGAAGGATGGATTACTTGTTCCTAGTTGTTGGTAATCTTTTAGATGGAATCAAAAAAAAACACACAAAAAAGTTTTTTGTGTTCTTTTTTCGCTTAAATACTTTATTATGCTCAATTGATTTCGGCTTGTTTTTTATCGGCTTAGTGACTTTTTGAGCCCTTTCAAGGAAAACATATTTTTATGCGCCCCTGTGAATCGCACATAGAATTGATAGTTTTTTATGACAATTTCTTTCGGCTTTTTTTGTTTTCCTTTTTGTTTTTCCTGATAGGTGTCGGCCTACATAAAATCGGCGTAAGTGCTTCCTATTACAAGCGAAAAAAAAACACTTTTTACTTTATTTGTGTTTTGAATGTGAGGGAGACTTAATAGTTTTTAATTAGTCTTAATTTTTTTTTGTTTTTTCCGCCTTTTGAAATTTTTCTTTTTTTCGGCTTAATAGGTTTCGGTGTATCTTTTATCAATTTTGTGACCTCATATTGTTGCATTTGAAAAATAAATACAAGTTACCTGTGTTTGCGTTTTGAGGGTGAGTGTGACTTAACAATTCAGTTTGATAGATCTAGTTTTTTCGACATTTTCGATTGTTTTTTTTTTCGACTTAGCGGTTTTCTTGTTTGTACTGCAAGTAGTGCGAAGCTCAGCCTCACCTCTGTGTAAAAAATTTGAAGCTTCGAGCGAATTATTTATCCCAAGTTGATGGTAATCTTTTAGATGGCATATAAAGTTTTTGTGAAAGGTTGTTAGCTGAAAAGTCGAGATTCGTCTGAAAAAAAACCTTGTCGTAGGTCAGAGCGGCATGGGCTCAATGATGAATATTGGTTTCCAGAATATTGATTTATTGAAGCTGCTCATGGTAGTAGCGGATCTATATTTAGTAAGCTAACTCATCAAATCGCTATTAAATAGTAAAGATTAAGATGATCATAAACAATTCTGATCTCCTCAGCTTTTGCAATGGTACGATTTAGGTTTTTGCTGTGTGCACTAGCCAACTTCAGTGAGCGTTTGTGTTATAGTACGACTATTGGGGCACCTCTACGTCTATTGATAGTATGTGCTTTGAAATTCTAAAAGTAATAAGTTAACACAGTTGATGCATTTTAAGTTTGTCAAATGAACCGAAAGAAGCTATTTGTTTGAACAACATAATAATCTTAACATTTCAATATAAGAAGTTTTCTAATATATCTTGCAATTTGTTGAAATGCATAATTCATAAATAATGTGGCTGTATGATTTTCAATTTATTGCATGGCAAATTAGTACGGATCCTACAGTTTGTTATATTCCAAACTAATACTTGCAAAGTTGTGTCTATTTGTATTTGGTGCTACTTTTGCTGCATCCAATTGGCAATTTGTTAGCATATGTAGCTGTTTAATTTGTTACTAGTCTTTTTCGTTTGTTAAGAGTTTGTGGCCAATAGGTCGCAGGTTCGAAGCCCATACGTACCAAAGTTTTACTAATAGAGGCTTAGTTCTATCTTTCTTATTTCACTTTATAAAGCTGCTTTTTGTCGTGCTGTCGCCAGTCTTTGTGAAGCGCAGCTTTGCCTCTGTGTAGAAAACGCGCTCTTCTTTTAAAACATTTGTTTTCTTGTTGTCGAAGCAGACAATTTTTAAAGGAAAGCGAATAAAAGTCAGTTTTATCGAAGCAGGTTAGTTCTGAGGACCAACGCAGTGAACCGTGAAATATTTTCTTAACGGAAAGGTCGAACTAAGATAGACAAAAGTGTTCAGATACTTGGAAACTATATGCAAATATTGCAAATTGCTCAGATATACAAGGGATGACAACAACCGTATTTCTTTGAGCATCTAGCTGATTTTATCATCACTTCACATATGCTTCTCCAAACAAATATTCCAATGTTTCCTTTATACTTTACCTTTTTTTTCAAAACTAGAGCTTTTAGTTTTAAAAGAGTTTCTTTGCTAATTTGTTTTATTAATTCGATGCAGGACTCAAATTGTAACACTTCAATTTTGATATTTTCTGCCTAATCTAAAAAGTATTTGAGAACACTTAAATGGAAGTCGGAACAATTAGGGCTTTGCATTGATGCAGGCACTCTTGTTACTCCGAAGAGCGAAGGAATATGTATGCTCGGGGTGGTTTTTTTCTCCGGACAAGTTTCGACTTTTGAACTAGCCATTGTTAATGGAGTTTCTACATCATTCGAAAAGCATTGTTATTCTGAGCTCAAATTCAGAAAGATATTTCACCAGTGGTTATTTTTGGTAAGCTTATGAGAGTTTAAATGTTGCCAATTTGGGATAATTAACGCGCGATATATTTAATCCGTTTTTTCTTTGAAGTGAACACTACTCCGTAAAACTTAAAAAGCAGTCAGAATTTTGAAATCTTCGTCCTAAGATGAGCAGTCTCGTATGAATTTGTGGGACCACTTGAGAGTAATTGGCTTTTTTTTTTCTTTCATGAGGTTTTAATTGTTCCAAAATCTACGTAAAAACACACTTGTCGGCATTTCATATGTTGCACTCTTTTGTTATTGGATACAGTAAACAAATGTCGGTCTAAAACTCACGCGCCAATCATTTTACTGCACTTTTTGAGTTCCCTTTTTAAAGCATGGTTTTGCACAACTATTTTGTAAAAGCTTCGAAATGGCTTTTTTCAATTGAATGATTGACCGTATTCGTCCAGATAATTGCGATTGGTTTGGTTTTAGGCAAGTTTTGACAACCCATATAACACTTGTTGGTGGATGCTGTTAGTCCAGATGAATGCTATGCTAAGCAAATAAGAATTCCAGTTCAAAAATAAAAAATAACTAATTACGCGATGCTCTGAGTTGATTAAAACTTTCTTTATATAATTGCACACATACTTTAAGTTGTAATCTTTGATAAAATATTTTTGCGCAAAAATAAATTGTCAGAAATTGTACCATAATGTGGTTATTTTAGTTTAGGAGATCGCTATCAGGCAAATGTGGTTCGTGTTCCAACACCTGAACCAATCATTATCTCTCCATACATTTCTTGTTACGTGTATGGATAATGCTTTTGTAGAACCCTAAGTAGGAATGGTAATCCCTGCTCTCATGTATTCTCCAGTGTACTGGAAAAGGTATTGCAATTCAAAGTTGTCCCAGAGTATTATGCATTTATCGTTGACTGAATCTCCATCCACGTACATGCATGAGAGGGCGATATGGAACGAATTGTGGTTTTTGATCATCTCCGAAGCCTGAGCCAATTTGCACCGGGTGAAGATCACGGTACTGGAAGTGTCGTAGTTTGAATCTCCGGTGACGTCGATCCACATATCTTTGAGGCTACTTGTTTCTCTCTGGTGGAAATTGTTTAGCGTGTTAGCAACCCAATCGCCTTCATCTTTTTCGCCCCTGATATTGGCTCCGTTTAACCTCCAACAGGCCACCGGAGTTTTTCAAAATGCTCCAATGCTCTCATTGTATCCGGTTGCAGGAGCCTAATCTGCTATCTTGCAGAAATTCGCAGCATCCGAGGGAAATGTGAAATCTATATCGTAAGTATAAGTTTGCATCTGGGCCATGGTAGAAACTGATTCCGTAAATGTGGCGATGCTGAATGCCAACTTTTTTTTGTCAAATTAGTGTCTTTTTTTTCTGTGTTGTGATAAAAAGATCTGAACGAAAAAGCGAAACTGGGTATCTTCGACAGTCATAGTTAAATACATAGTTGGAAATTAGTTCAAATAAATTTTATAATCTTTTATCAAACTTTTGTATTTTTTTTAAAATTTTTGAAGATTGATTCCGAAAATGGCGTTAAAAAACTAAATGTACTCGAGTAAAACCAAATTTCCACGGCTTAAATTAAGCGGAAATAAGCTATTGAAAGCCTGCACGCTCACCTTATTAAATCGAAATCGGACAAAAATCAAAAAAATTCCAACCGGTTTTTGTCGACACAAAAATTTTCAAATTTTTGTACTGTCGTTTGAATCACGACTGAAAAGGCTTTATTTGATAAATAACTCGACCCATTTCGATGATTACTTGTGGGACTTCTTGATTTTGCTTGGAAAACAAACAAACTAAAAACACACCCGAATACAAAAATCCACATTCTTCAAATGGTCGGAACAATTAAGACATGCGAAACCAGAGTTCATAATCAGCTAGTAGAGCTCACTACTGCTTCTTAACCAAATCATTGAGTAGTAGAGCACCAATAAATGGCTCTGCGGCGACGAAAGTGGAGACATTATCAACTGACTTTTTCGGAGTTGCTGTTTTATTTCAATTCTTAGTTCTATGCCGTTTGGTCGTAATCTAATTTTTGTTTAAAGTTCTACCATCTATTTGTACACAAAACTCGATTTTGAGCATGAATATTTATTTAAGTTTAAAATGTGCCTTCTGAGTAAAAAAAATTAGGTTAAACCTATCGTTGTACAATGTCGCGTATGCATTCAATGTCGTACAAGTTGTCATATCGTTTGGTCGGGAGATTGGCCGGCCTAAATGGTTCCGATAGTGATGCCAAAATTACCCGAGTTCAGTTCCCGTTTTAACTACAGCGTATCCATTTTCTCAGCCATATCCACATTTGAGTGACTGGTTGAAACCGATTTGGAATACAGCTATCATTGAACTCAAATGCCCTATAATTGTTATCTCTGAAGCATTTGTCATAGCCTTTTCGTGAGAGCGTTCGTTTTGGGTTCGAAAGGGAAATGCACGAACCTCTAGGGTATTTAAACAAGAAACAGAGTGTGCAAGGCGGCAATTCAAGCTACAATTTAGACTCGAGTTCTCATTTTGGAAGCACCGAACAGAAATTGGCAATCCGAAATTGATCTTGATCTCGGATTCAAAATCGTCGACTTGGAAGATAAAACGATTTTTAAAATTTACTGTTTTTCAATCAAAGCTTAAACAAAAATGAATAGTGTAAATATAAAAACGACCACCTACAAAAAGCAATTATGCATTTGATCAATCAAGCCTTATGACCATTTCTTGATGGAGCTGCATTTTCTTCTTTTTATTGTTAAACAGCTAATTAAACTTGAATAGCCCTGGAAAGCAAAAGACTGTTTATCTTGCATGAGCAAAAGTCAAAAAGCCAACCCTCCTAAATAATGAAAAATGAAAATAAAATTTTTATTACAAAATTGGATCGATTATAATATAAGACACGCTAAAATGAAGCATCTCCATTTAGCATAGTCTCAAACTGTTTCTTTTATCTATTTTTTGCCGGTTTAAAAAAAACCGAAAAACGACCACCTACAAACGACCCGCGATATCAGATTGAACGTTTGGTCTCAACCTGTTAAACAAAATAGATAATCTTGCAGTAGTTTGTATGTGAGAAATGTTCTTCAAATAGTTTCACTTGCTTTATAATAACTAACTTCCTGGCTAAGCATTTGGCTACTGATTAAAAACAGTTAAATAAAGCTTTTTTACCCGGTAAACACTCAAGAGTTGAAGACTAGCTAAATACATACTGAACCATGCCATTCACTTTTACAAACTATGACACGGCCTAAGTAATGTCTCAATCAAATGTCTATTTAAAAAAAAATTGCAGCGCACAACTTACATCTAATTAATTTCGTTTATACGTTTTTCATTTTCAGAGCATCTGTATAAATTGGATGAATGACTCAGCGTTTATCTTGCCTTCTCCGTTTTTGTGGTCTCCCGAGTCTTTAATTTGCGTCTTTCCGTTGTTTTTCTGTGAGTCATCGTTGTTCTTGCCTCGCAGCGGTGAGTCGTCTTCTCCGAGGAGTGTGTCGTCGAACAGTGACTCTAGCTCTTCCGAGCAGATACTCGGCATGATCTTCTCCGCCATCTCTCGGATCTGCTTGATGGTGATGAAACCCTTACCCTCTTGGTCGATTATCTGCAAAACAATGCAAATCGAGGGTATAGCAACCTTTATATTCGACTGCAGGCTCTGCTTCTCGATCATGGATACATAGCCAAAAATAGACAGCATAAGTTCAAAACATAAAATGTAGCAGATAAAAATGGCGTGAAATGGAGATAAAAATGGTGAAATAGAAGAAGTGTTTACCTACCTTGAACGCCTGCTTAAGTTCAGACTTGGTGCATGGCTGCAATTCATGGGTCATCACCTCCATCTTCTCAATCAGCTGGGGGAAATCGAGCAGGTCATTTTGATCCTTGCACTGAGACAGGATATGTTCCACGTCATCCTCGTTCAGTTTTCGTCCCACCATCTGGCCCAGAGCCACAAGGTCACTGACCGTCAGCACAGTTTCGTCTTCTTCTTCCAATCTGGAACAAAAATGTGCAGCTTACCGCTTTCCCAGAGGATAATCAAACTAAAACAACTGCTTTTTAACCAGGGAAAATCCGATTTAAATGAAAACACCATAGTTTTAAAGTTGAATTTGAAAGTTTGATAAAAAATTACACAACGTTTCGATAACCTGAGAGTTATCACTATTTTTTATAGACTTGAGTTAATGAGGCTTCAAGTGCTATCAGACAAAAAATCTTTTAAAAATCCTTTTTTGTATTTTGCTCGTAATGTTCGATTTTTTTTTCTAAATGTCTAATTTAGTTTAATTTTGCTATTTGTTTCTTGTACTTATGTTTTCTTCTCATTCTGTTTAGTTTTTTTTTCTTTTGCATTGCAAGCTCCAGCAGAATAAATCCTTCGAAATTTTTTCTAACTCTCCAAAATGCTAGTGAAGAAAAGTGAAAAAGTCAGCAGTTTTTACTGCAGCCTTATTTAGAGTAGGTTTTTTTGTTTGTTTCTTTGAGTTTAACTTCTCGCAACTTGTCAGCCTAATATGAGTTTTTTTGCAAATCGATTCAAGTTAATGGCTCGTCGAATTTTTGAAGTTTCTCTACATTTTCTGCTTTTCAAAAACCCAACGTTTCGACTTTTCAACATTTTTTTGGATCAACGGATGTTTACCCAAAGTTTTTTTTTGCGTAAACGCTTGTTTCATAGTTTTATATGATTCACGATTTTACAACGGGCGTTTCACAAGTTTATTTGTTTCATAACATCTTTTCATCAAAATGAGTTCCAAATAAGACAAACATACTAAATTCTCGGGTGTTGTTTTTGTGTCGGTTGTCTAATTTTTACGACTCGGTCGTTTTCTGTATCGCCACCAGCAGTAATAACTGGTGCACCCATTTTAACCATGAAATTATTGTTTTTGATTTTTTTCGTTTTGATATTTTGCTTTTTTTTTCATTTTTTGTTTGTTATTCATTTTTTCTGACAATTAGGCATTATTCAGTAACTTTCTACATGATTTTACAGTTTTTTTTATCACAACGCGTACAAACAACGACTTCAATTTGAAAAAAGAAAAGAAAAAGTTTTTTCTTGTAGTTTTTTTTAATTATGGTCGGAACATTCTGTGTGAATTGCCTGGCGCCTGGCTATCCTTTTTGTTCTGACCATAGAAAATGGGGAAGAAGTTTGTATTCGGGCGTATTTTTTTCTGTTTTGTTTTTGCTCCGACCATTTGAAAAATGGAGAGGAACCATGTATTCGGTTGTGTTTTCGTTTTTTCTTTTCTTTTTCATTTTTTTTCCATGCACAATCGGCTACCACAAATATTTGTCGGAATGAGTCAAATGATATGGTAAATGAAAGTCCTTTTATTCATAATTGGAACGACTTTAAAACATTTTCAAAAAATTTTCTCAGTATCGAGAAAAACTGGTTTTGATTTTTGCAATTTTTTCAAACTCGAGTGAACAGGCTTACAACAGCTCATTCATGCTTATTTTTGGTCCTGAAGACATAGTTTTAAGCAGGTAAAAAAAATTTGGAGTTTTTTGCGCAATTTTGGGAATCAAAAACAATTCTAATTTTTTTTTTTTTTTTTGCAAAATAATTTTAAAAAATGTTTCAAGTTTTTTTTTGAAATTTCGTTTCTTTTCTTGTCATTTTTTTCTTTAAGTTTTGTTTCTTTTCTAGTCATTTTTCTCCAAGCATTTTTGTCAAATTTGTCCTCATTTTTGTAATTGTCGGATTTGCCTAACTTATACTTTTACGTCAGATCCTTTTATCATACCACGCAGAAAAAACTACACATTAAAAATTGTGTTGTAGTTTTTTAAAGACTATCGTCGGAACATTCTGCGCTACTTGCTCAGTAACAGGCTATCCTTGTTCAAATTTCTCCCTACAGAAGTTTTTTCTAATGTGTGATTCGTCCTATTATTTTATACAATCAGTGTGAAATAATTAAGTTCAACTTATTAATTGAAGTCCTTTAATTAAGTTCTTCCCTTCCCATTTATATTCAAAATTTAGACAGAATTACCCGCTGGCATCGGGGCTCTTTGGATCGGAACATGGCGATGGCGCTATCGGATTGGCTGCCCAGTGTGCCTCAGATGGAGTGAGGAGATCGTGAATGGAAACGGGAAAGTCGCACTCGAAAGTGACCTTTGACGATCTCTTTTTGGCTAATTTGTGGTTGTTAGTTTCATTGTGAAACACCAACGATTCCTCGCCATCTACAAATTTAAACAGTTATCTTACTACTGCCCAAACTATTTATTTATTTTACTGTTTTCAAATCAGCACCGGTGGATGTAATACTAGTTGGCTTGAAACGAATACTAACGGAAATTTCTAACCATCTGTTCAAAATGATTGTTTTCTGGATTGTCGATCGATCAGCTAAATCAACTGATAGAGGCCGGTCTTGAGACTTTTGGATCATCCTATAAATGGAACTAAGCATTTACGGATTTCATCGGGATCTGGGAGGCGGACACCTCCCTTCCCTGAAGTATTCAGCCCCTCACAGTCCCAAGCTAATACTCCATTGCTATTTTCTACCTCTACGACCAATTTTAATCGACCAACCCTAAACCTTCGTGTAATCAATGTGTAAACCTTTAAAAAAAGTTTGACCCCCCCCCCCCCCCCCCCCACCCCACCACCAAGTTTTGGACATCTGTTTTTTTTTGATAAAGTGATTTTAGGACAGTTACGATTAAAGGCCTAATTTTCAACTTACAAATGAGCAGTGCGTCAATGATGTCGTTGAGTGTATCGCGACTTGTGCAAATTTGAGGACCGGTTTTCTTGTTTAGACGACTAAAAGAACGATCTTCTTTCGTCTGATTAATATCCTGTGAACTGCTTTGACACTTTCCTACTTGACCATAAACGCCCGAGTAGTTTCCATCCGCCATTTGCAAATGAAATATTCCTTTTACAATGTTTTAATGAAAATTTTAAAAAGGAATTTTTTCATGAAGGGTAAAAATTGTTGAATTATGAAATGGAACACTGCCTTTGTAAATTAGAATCTCACTCTCGTATTTCCCTTGAGGAGTTTACGCGTTGAGAGGTTGGTATGGCCGGGTTTAGTTTTTGTTCACTTTCAGCCTAAGCTCCTCTGTAATTCTGTGTTTTAGAGGCCATTTTGTGACAATTTGGGGGAATTATTTCTCATTTCAATGTCCGATCGCAGGAAATGGAAATGTGCACATAAGTTGCAGTACTGAAAATGGCTATCGTGTTTTCACCATAAAAGCTTCACACTTTTTGATTGTTTTACTTTTTATCCAAGTTTCAAATAAACGCTTTATGAGAATTTGTTTGCTCTAAGTTAAAATGGAATTGTTTTATAGTAATTTGATTATTAACTTAAGCTCCAGGCTCTGGCTTTGATAAAAATGTCTCAGACGCCAAAACAGCTCAACTATAGAAAAGAAGATGAAAAATATGTCATGCTATCCCAATCAACATAAATAACCAGTTTCATGTTTATTGTTAAATTGCTCCAAGAACTATTTTGCTCCAAGAACTACGTTTCATTTTGTATGTGTAGAGCGGCTAAAACTAATTTAGATCAAATTACCCTGGCTCCCATTAAAAAAATTATATGAGTGTTTACCAGCAATAAATCAATATGAAATCATGAAGAGTGAATCGTCTTCTAAACATGTCTACAGAAAACATTTTAAATAGCGTACTTATTGATAGTTTTTCTGAGCTAGTTTTCACATTTTAGAAAAAAAACTAAATTTTTTTTCTTTGCACAAATGATTGTCAGAACAATGTACTGCGGTACAAATTCATCATTAATCTGTACAAAAGAATCCACAGAGTAAAACTATGTGATTTTTTCATCAATTTGCATCATAGGACAGAATCATTAAAGAAATTATAAAAAAACTGCAAAATTCAAGAAAAAACTGTAAGCCAACTAATAGTTCAATTTTTAGGTGAGGTGTGGTTCAAGAAAATTTGGCAATTCATTTATAAAACAGGTATGAAAAAATACGATAGCGCATCTGAAAAACATTCGCTGTTATGGATAGAGATGTCTCCTATTTTGTGAGAAAAAGAGATTAGAGAGTCCATGACCATTGTCATTGCTTTAAAAAGGTAATTTTTAGGTACTTTCATAAAAAAAGTTTTATTGAGTTAGGACTGAGGTGTAACTCATAGAGTAATTTCGGATAGGGTACACCGTCTGCTCGTCACGCTATCTTATTTTCGGCCGGATAGATTCGTGCAACTTCTTAGTCTAATACCGATCCTAATCTTACTCTTATACTATCTAGTCTCAGGTTGTTTAACTAGTCTCTGCTAGGCTCAATAGATCTAGGGTATACTGGTTTATTGCGGCTGCTGAAGTGCTCGGGAGAGTCCAACTAATTTCTAAGTTAAATTCAAATCTCTCTGGTGCTGAAATTACAAGTAACTTCAGCACTTACAAATAAGTGGGTTGTTAGTTAGATGGATCATGATTGGTTAATATTAAATACTTTACATTGGTAAAACATTTAATTTATCCAATCATAAAATGTAGTTTAGATCAGGTTCCACCCATCCGGGTTTTACAGAGTTTTTTAGAATAGTTCTTCTGCAATTCGAAGGATGGATGATGGACGTTTGTTTTTGGCGAACATCATAATTTTCTTCCGTTTCCTCTTTTGTTAGGGAAGTTCCAGGAAGCTGGAGTTAGAGACATAAGACGTTGTGTCTTCTAGTGACAACGACTACGTCTTTGCAACAAACTCAAATCTGATTTCAGAATGGTTTGCTATGTCAGGTTTTTCTGTTCTGCGTGGAGAACTTCTTTTGTGTATGATCTAGTTTGGGAATGGCGTGGAGATTGTGCGTGGAGGGGATGCCTGGTTACTCGGATCTGTACGTATACTTGAACATCGAGGTGGTCATTGGTCTAGTTCAATGAAGTCCTTTTCTGCGAGGTCAAGTCGTACTCTAAATCCTTTGAGTTGTGATTGTGAGCGGCATATCGATTGTAGTTGGTCATTCTCTCTCGAGTGTAGTGGGGTCGTCTTGTCTTTTGATGTTCGTCCTTGGTGTTGTATTCTGATCTATATATTGCATCATGTGATTTTACATTTTATAAAACTTTTATTAGTTTAATATTTTTTAATAATGATTTTAGTTAGTTTTTTTCACAAAAGCTTTTTGTTTTAGTTCGGTTATTTTGAAGAGTTACTCACACTTGAGTAGCTCTTATTAAAAATAGTGGTGTGGTCACAAAGCGTGGATGTAGCGCGGTGGGTTAGGCCGGCTATAGAGCATGCTCAGGACGTCCTTCCTGGTGGGTTAGGCCAGGAGTGGGAGTATGATTTCATGCGGTTTTTGTGAGGGGTCCTGTTATGTGACAACGTTTTATGTTGGGTTTGTTGTGGTCTTACTTATGTTTTGTTGGTTGTGTCCTTTTTTCAAAAATCAAATTGTTTGTGGTATGGGTTTGTCTTTCGACTTTTTTGTGTTTTATTATTTCTTTCTTAGACTTTATAATAGTCTTCAAAAGAATAAATTATCCAGTTTTAAACTGGGTTAATCCGGTTTGGGTACCGTTGGTTTTCTTTTCTAAGTCATGCTGTTATTCTATGATTTGTGGTATTTAGTAAGCTGCGTTGGTTAGTTTTGTTTAGTATATGATTCCTTTCCAACCGGGTTAAAGGAAAGTTTGAAACATGTTATTATATGTTAGAGTTGTTGAGTGTGAAAACTTGAAACTGAAATTCATTATTTTAAACAATTCTTCGTGGGCGAGCTGTGCGAGTGTGGATAGAATTTCTGTGCGAATGAATGAAAATATCAAAAGGTTAGTACTGCATTTGCATTTATTTAATTTACTACATAGAATTTAGAATTTTACTGCTAGTCATGGGGGAATATTAAGATACAAATTTTCATCATAATTAGATTTACTGCTTGTGGGGGAAAATTTTAGAAATGAATTTACTGCATTGGTATTAAATTTATAAATTTATAAGTGTAAGAGATTAATAGAATTTTTGAAATCTGTTTGATGAAATTTGCGATTTTTATTTGTCTTTTGTGGTTGTTTGTAGGTGATCGTCGGATGAAGGCTAAAAATCTAATGAAAACATGAATAAGGTATGGTGAGTTTTTTAATATTTTTATTAGTTAGTAATATTCATTTAATTCATACTTACCTGTTAGTCGTCGGGGAAAAAACCGTGGGGGAAGATGTCGTGAATTAGTTCTGAAGTTGTTAGTAGTTTAGCTAAGATGCGGATGATATTTTTAGTTTGAAGCAGTGGCCAAAGCAATTGAAGTGCCTTGATAGTGGTTAGTTCTTCAGTGCCAACTGCAAACTCATAAGGTGTGTTTTGGATTAAGTTATATAATTTGTGATTGAATTTAGTGTTGTGGATGAATTCTAAAATTGGGATTTCTATGGGTTGTACAAACTCGTGCGGGATAAGGAAGGGTCGGGATTCTTCGGCGTTGAAGGTCTTGGTAATGGGACAGAAGATGTACATTTGGGTTATGGGGTCATAATTACGAAGAATACCATGGAGGTTAGTGTCTTTAATACAATATGTGAAATTTAGGAAAAATGGTGAAGTGTATTTGGAATTAATGAATTGAAAACGATGGTGTGGTTGTCTAGAGGGTGTGTGTAGGTCAAAGTGATTTTGGATGAAGCGATAATAACTATATGTGTGGGTTTGTTTAGTGCGCAACATAATATCGTGTGAGCAGTGTAAATCTCTTTCGTGTGGTGCAAGGAAATGAAAGGATAGTGAAAATATTTGGAAGCGTTCTTTAAAACTTTTGTATGCATGTGTGTCTGTTAGTGCTTCTGAAATAATGTGATCAAACTTTCGGTCGAAGATGTTTAGTGTGAATGTATATGGTGTCTTGATGAAAAATTTCTCGGTAATTTGTGGATTAGCGAAGCGATCGTCGTCTAAGAATTGATCTTGGTTAGCTCTGATGATGTTGTGATCATAGTATTCTAGTGTATATTCGTTAGCTCTAGGTGCAGTGTGTGTTTTTAGTGATTTTTTATATCCAACGTAAGTAAATTGTCTAGGTGTTAGTGGTGTAGTGAGTCGATATAGCATGTCCGTATTTCGCTCTATATCGATGTGAGTGTTAGATAAAGGTAAGCAAAGAGGGTTAGTGAAATGATAATATGAGGTCCAAGAGAGAGTAGGCATTAAAACGTATTCATCTACGAAGTTGAGTGTTTCGTTAGTGTCGTGGGGGGTGTTTAAGGTGTATTGTGGGAATGAGGGTAAGGTGATGGCTAAAAATTCTTTTGTGTTAGTATGCTTGGGGTGGTTGATGTATTCACGGGCTGTTCCTGGTTTTGCTGGGAAAGGATGGTTGGGGAACTTTCTTTTAAAAGTGCGGTAAGCTCTATTAGTGTTGAGTGAAGATTCAGTTGATGTGGATGATGGTGCTAATGATTCAGTATAAGTTGAAGAGGGTGTAGGGGTAGGGGGGTTGGATGAATTTATTGTGGAGGAGATTTGGTTTATGGTTGGGGTATTAAGGTGGTAGGGTTGTTGTTGAAGGGTAATAAAATTATCTAGCTCTGGGGAGATTCGGGGGGTGTCTGGAGAATGAGATGATTGGTCAGAATGGTATGAGGAGTAGGTTGGGGTAACTTGGGAAGCATAAGAGGGTGTGGGGGTGATTGGGTCAGGGTTATTGGATAATATGGGTTGAAAAGGGGGTTGAGAAAAATTAGAAGAGTTATGAAAATTATTGGATGGGGATGGTTCTGAGTCGGCGAATTCATCGGGGGTTTCAATATTCGGGTTATTTAGCTGTGAGATGGAGTATAAAACTGAGATGTGTGAATTAGTGTCGGAATTCATGCCTGATGTTACATTACTAGATGGAAAATCGGGTGGCGGAAAAGCAAAAAGTGGTATTATTGGGATTGGAGAGGTAAGATTGGTTGGGTGGGAATTTGATCGGTGTAGTGATCCAAGTTGGCGGCTCATCGTGGGCTAAAAAAATGATTATTTTGAGACTGAAAAGCGGTGGTATGGGGTTGTTCAATAATTTGTTCATAAGTATTATCATCTTGTGACTGGTGTGTCATTATATGTTGAATGGGACTTTGTGATGTGGTGAGTCGAAAATTTGGATTATGTGTGATGGCTAAGTTTCGAAAATTTCGTGGGACTAGGGATAGTGGATGGTTATTTGGTAGGGCTGGTAATTGTGGTGCCGTTGGCGTTATGTCTACATT